TATAATTCACTTACATCATCTTCAGTCCATGCATCTTCTGTCCATTCCCAAACATTTCCAGCCATGTTATGAAGACCAAAATCGTTTTGAGGAAATAATTCTACAGGGTTTGTACCAACAAAATTATCTTTGGCAGAGTTATGATGTGGAAAGGTTCCTTGCCAAATATTTGCCCTGAGGGGAAAAAAGTTTGTACAACAAAACAGAACAAAGAAGAGAAACATATTATTATAATATATTAGATACAAAGTTTGGTGGATTTGCTTTAAATCATCTTCTTATTCTTGCTCTTAGCTCACTTTATGTGGGGCCAGTTTTGATGAATTTGTTTTAAATGTAAAAACATATTTATTGTATAGATCGGTGGTGAGCTTACTGCCTTGCTGTTGCTCTTAAATGGTACACAAGGTGAGTCTTAATAGAATTGTTGCTGCTGCTGCACCAACTTCTACACAAAGCACTCGGCAAACAAACTGAGAGAATGGTACCCATGCAGGCTTAAAATATGCCCTACTAGTAATTTTTTGAGGCTCTAATAAAACTTTTAAGGTGAATAGTAACAGTCTTAGAAATTCAATTTTTTTTATTGCCATTGTATGTAGGTGGCCACTTCATGGTGTGTAGTCGCCATCACTTATGGATATCAGCAATGCCAGAGCACAGCAAAGCAGCTGCCTACAAAATACTGCCCTTTAACATAAAATTATTAATTATTATAATATATTATTATTTAATTAATTAACTCTACTTGTATTGTCGTTCTGGGAAAAGCTTATTTCCCCAAGGATACTTAATGTCTTGATGTCCACCTCTACATGCTGCTTCCCATTCTATTTCAGTAGGTAGTCTTGCCCCTCTCCACTTACAATAGGCTTTCGCATCATTCCAGGATACATGTATAACTGGGTGATCCATTACATCTAAACACAGAATATTGTTTAAAATGTATCACAATCATCATCATCATTGACGTTGTTAATAATATCAACTTCATCATCATTGCATGTAAGTCTACTGTTACTTATAAGACTCCTAATACTTTTTTTTTTTTTATTACAACGATAGGCAAACGAGCAAGACGGGTCACCTGATGGTAAGTGATTCACCGCCGCCCACGGTCACCAGCGTTTACGCCAGTGCGTTGCCTACCCTTCAGGTAAGAATATGCTCTTTTCTTGAATAACCCAATGTCGCAGTTGTTGGGGAAGACCGCTGATGGCAACGAATCAACTTACAGTTGATGTCAGTCTACATCATATTTTCACATGTTATCATGTGATTGGATAGATTTCGTAAGATCCCTCCCACACCAGATATAATATAGGGACTTATGATTTGCAAGGAATTGCATTAATATTGTATTAGGTTGCAATGTTATTATTCATGGTGGAGACAACAGAATACCTATTTATGAACTAGGTACAAGCAATAATTCCTCTTAACATTATATTTTTACATTAATAAATTACCTTTTATACTAGAATCGGGTCCAAAAGGATGGTTCCAATTGGCACCAAACACTTTGTACCACCAAGTAGCTTGGGCAACTCGAAAATCTTTGATTTTTTCTTTAAAGGTATTATTCAGAAAAAGTGCAAACACAAAACTGTCTCCAAAAATATCTGCCTCAGTCTTATAATTTGTTACTCTAGTAAAGTGTTTAAAATCCTGATTTGATACTTCATACTTATCCAAAAAAAAACTTTTAACTTTGACAATTCGCTTTGGTCCTTCATTATCATTTTCAATTACAATGTCATCAGTTCCATATTGGTATTCCCCACCCGGCACTAATACCATCATTTCGTTATACCACTGTTCATCTTCAACTTTATCACTTATATTTTCAACAGAGCATTGTTCATTGTTATTGCCTGAATATAAATTATTACGGTCCTTTTCTCCATTTCTATTCACACTGCAGCCACAATCACTTCCGACCAAAGGAAAGATAATTTGTATAAGCCAAACAAGGCATATAGATAGATGCATATTTATTAATTCAATAACAACAAGACCTAATTTAAAACTTGGAGCCGTTTAAGTTAAAGGAGTTGCACCTTTCATTTGTGCAATACTGAAGAAAAACAGGTAAGATGAAAGTAATGGTCCACTTTTCAGTTATGTTTAACTAGTGTGAAATGTCATGAATTGTTTTGTAAATATGCGAGAGTCGCTGACCGCCGTTCCTTGGAGTAGGCACGTACGGTACCGGTAAAATGGGGCGATTAGGGATTGAAAGGCGAATCGGGAAAAAACCGGGAAAATCTTTCGACGCTCAATATAAGTTTTATATTCGTTGCAANGGGAAAATAATACGAGACCTGTACTGATATGACCTGGCCCGTCGATCTTGATGTAATTTAAGTCATCTTGCTCAAAAACATATCTCATGGCATCGGATTCATTATCAGATCATCTTTAGCTATCATCTCTTCATATCGGCATTCCGATACCGCAATCCTACAATAGAATATTTGATTGTATTATAGAAATCATTATAAACTGTTCTCTCACAACAAAAAATCACATACAAAATCTTTGAAACTTAATAAATTAAATGGATTAGTTACTAAATACCAGTTAAATTAAATCCGTCAAATCGCAGAAGGTCAGAAGTTTTAGACAATCTATTTATAACGTTTGTTTGATTAGTACATTTCTAATACTGAAGGATCTAATTGTTCTGTTCATTGCTCTCTAACTAGGCTGTCATCCCAATGTTAAGTGGTTGCGGGAATCCTTAGACCTTGAACCACAAGGCCAGTCTCATTTACCTTTCCAGATAGTCCTTCAAACCGCATGAATTGCCTTGCCGTAGATTATATGTAAAGTAAGGCCAACCAGACGAGATAAAAAATGTAAACAAAGTTTCAGGAGTAAAAAACATTTTTATTTAAATAAATTATTACAAAGTTCGAATTTTAATCGCTGTCATCTGTACTAGACAAAGATGATTCGTCGGAAGAGTCCGAGTCAGCTGTGTTTATGATAAAACTATTTATTGTATTATTATGGTAGTGGTTCAAGTACAAATGAATTAATAAATTAACTTACCTTTTGACGCTTTTTGCGTGGTGAATTCATTTTAGAGCCGCCAGGCTGTGATTCCATAATTAAAATCAACAACTAAGTCTAACTAACTAAAAATAAAGTCAATTAATAAACTCGGTACAGCGAACGTCTCATACAAAAAGTTGCTACCAAAATGCACTTTTCATATATTTTTTATTCTTAGATGTATAGACGAAGCTCACCGCCCAATTGATATTAAGTTGTTACGGGAGACCGTAGGGCACCATAACGCAAACGCGGCTGCCTACCTTAACGCTTTTTAATTTATTAATGGACCTTCATATTTGTATGTGATTTATTGCGTGTTTAATTAATTTATAAGATGGAACAGTTTTTGCGCTTTAATAATAAAGAGTGGAAGATTATAATTAAGATAAGATAAGAAACCGACTAAATAATATATCTTCTCACATTAATTCAAACCATCATATTAAAAAATACATTAATTTTTAACCAGTATTTTTTTAATTTTTACTGAGTCCATTCACAGTAACATGCATAGCTACGCATTAACATAATAGTTATTGCTTCTTATGAATTCATGTTTTTATTATAAGATTAGATTTTTTTTTCTCGAATGCGAATTAGCGTCATCGTTAACAGTTCGGCTCAAATGAATGTTCCATTTAAATAGTGCTTTCTGTCTGACTACCCTGGATCTAGGCACGTTTTTATAAAAGAGTTAACCGTAAAATGTAATCTCACATGACAATATCATACACTTGTATACGATAGTCTTGTGGTCGCACTCTAACGATTGTATTTAAGAAACTCGTTGAGTATATCAACCTTAATTGTATCTAGGTAATCATAATCTATGATATTAAATAGTCAATCAAAACGTAAGCTATTTAGCGTAAAACTAAAAATAATGGCTGTACATAATTTAAATACAACTATTGAAAGCTTGGAAATGGGAATTTATAACAGTGTAAAAATGAATGTTTCTTTAAGAATAGGCACTAATAAAATAAACCAATGAATATTTTATGATACTCATATTACTTTAATATCGTTAACAGATGGTACATGCGTGTTGGTGGTATTATTTCTCAAAGTTCACGGAGTTTTTTGATACGGTAAGATGATGATTAAATAAGTCTTTTTTTTAAAATCCAAAACTCCTTGTTCAAGAAACTTCAATTAAAGTCATGTTTCACTGTTTCTAAAAACGTTGGATAACTCGAATTTCTTACAATATTAATGAATTTATTTATTCTATCATTATTTCTATTTATTCTATCTGATCAATTCATGATTTTAAAAATATTGAATTAATTCATGAACTTTTTTTTAAATTTTGAAAACTAAGTATTAAAATTAATAGTTGGTTTTCATTATTACTAAATAATTACACATCATTTCGGAACCTCCAGATCCACTCTCGGTACTTTTAATTATTCCAAGCATCGATCACCGAACTTGTCGAGTGCAACGAAGGATTCCAGCTTAACTCACAACTGATCTGATTCTGATCCATACAATGAAGCACAGCTCTTGCTAAGGCAATTTTTTTAGTTTTTTATTTTATTGCTTTGATGGATGGACAAGCTCACGCTCACCTGGTGATTACCGGAGCCCATAGACTTCTACAACGTACCTAAATGCCGATACCCACCTTGAGATATAATTTCTAAGGTCTTAGTATAGTTACAATGACTGCCTCACCTTTCAAACCGAAACGCATTACTGCTTCACGACAGAAATAGGCAGGGTAGTGGTACCTACCCGTGCGGACTCCCAAGACGTCCTACCACCAGTAACGAAGATGTTTGCAAAGGCTCAGACTGAGTCCCGTGAGCTCGTCTTCACACTCGTTGTAGGTAGAATAGTCCCTTGAGGTTTCTGGCGGTAGGTAGGCTAAAAAACTAAAGTGCCTATTAACGGAATTATAATTCTACACAATGCCATTACAGATCTTCTTTGTGCTGAGAAAGAAATTTGATCATGTATCAACATTGCACGTGATCCACCACGGAGTGATGCCCATGTCCGTTTGGTTCGGAGTGAAATTCACGCCAGGCGGACACTCTACGTTCTTCGGACTCCTCAATACATTTGTACACATCGTCATGTATACCTACTACATGCTAGCAGCTATGGGCCCTCACATGAGGAAATATCTATGGTGGAAGAAATATTTGACAACTCTGCAAATGGTGAGATCATCAAATCGGTCATATTTATCTTTTTGTAGTTGAAAACCATGTGATTAAAGAAACGAAGGAAATAATGTTCGTAAATTTTATCACAGGTGCAATTCGTCGGCATCATGGTACATGCATTCCAGTTGTTGTTCATCGAATGCGACTACCCTCGTGCATTCGTTTGGTGGATAGGAATGCATGCGGTCATGTTCTTCTTCCTATTCAAGGACTTCTACGACCAATCTTACTCTAAACCTAAGGTACAATACAGTTTAACTAATTCTATTGTATGACTTTTTATCAATACTGAATGAGATGAATTGTTCATACAGGTGCGCGCCAAGTCTCCGCAGCCGGAACTGGAGACGACCGAGATCAAAGAGCTGACCTACCAGAACGGTTCGCTAAAGAACGGATTCAACAAAATTCACACGAACGGCACGATGCCGCGCGCCCGCACCGTTCTGCCGGCCGGCAACTGACGCCGCGCCGCCGCCCTCCTTAAGCTAGGGTCTGTCGATCGGATCGCACAACGCTGCGGTGTGCGTTGCGCGGTGTCGGACACTTAACCGATCTGTTTTCCGTCAGCCATGTGCGACACAGCGTAACGCGTTCTGCAGTACTGTGCGTTCCAATCGACGGATAAAAGTCTTAGCATTCCGTAGTAGACTGTGATTCGTAACCTGGTTGTCGCGGGACGTAACGTGCGGACTCTTGGGGCCGCGGCCTCCGCTTTCGTAGCCCTAGAGGTGTAGTCTTAAATGTGATTTATCTAGTGTACATATGGTTAAGTGGTGACGAAAATGTAAATTTTGTTTTGTCAATGTTAAAGTTGGCCGGACGTGACCGGCGGTGCGACGACGGTCCGTTTGGATTGTTGCCTATCCGGAAGCTCCTAAGATAAGACGAATCGTTTGTTCGTTTTCGTGAGAGGTGCTTCTGTTTTACCATTGTTACAAACTAAATATTGATAAGCTTGTAAATAAACGGTAATTGGAATATTAGTTAGGAGAAAATATTTTTTTGATGGCTATTGTTAAGTTACTTACAGTCTACACTGAGAGAATTGTAATATTTTAAATATTAAAATAATCCAGTTACTTATAGTGTCAATACAATATGTATATAATACCTAATGAAGCAGTATGTACCTATACCATTATATTAACTATAATTTTATTTTAAGGCAACCTGCCTCTGTCGTGTTATATTATAACACTAAATTGTTAAATGACATTATTATTTTTATTGGTTGGAAAATTTTCTATTTGTATCTCAATTACAGTTACTGTATTTTATTTTGTAGAATCCATCCTAGTTTTAATTTGCAATGACTGGTTGTGTTGGTTATTTATTTTTTTAAATTAACTTTTATTTATGAATATCAAGTGTATGTTACGGTTATAGTGATGAATTGAACAATAATTACTGATGATTATGAATATTCAATACCTACTAATAATATACACGGTTTAAAGTGATCAATTTATCTCATTTACTTTTTTAATAAAACTAAGATCCTTGTTTTATTTTCTGCTTACGTTTAATTGAGAGCAATCGTCTCGGAAGTTGAGATCTGATTGAGAGTTGTTGCCTTATTATTAAAGTAGTACTTATCTACACAGATTAGTTAATACCCTAAAAGAGAAAAAACACGATTCCATATAATTTTTCACAGCCCCAAATCCGTGTAGTTGCAGAATTAAAATAAGATTTATTGGGCTCCATAACATTTTCTTAATAATATGTCAAACTTATCAAAAAGAAATGGTAAAAATATGAAATTCATTTTATTTTTGTACCATCACAGATGTACCAAAAGTTGATGAAAGCTCATGCGGACTCATGGCCGTACAAACTAAGCAGAATTTAAATTATAATTGCGAACCCGCCTATTTATCAAAATCGGAAAAATTATTCTTTCGTGTCATACTAAAAACTACGATATTATAAACATTAGTAAGACTTTAAAGATTATTATTATTATTGTCGCATCTTTCACTCTAACCGTGACATCATTAAGATCAAATCGATGACGGGTTATAATGGTAGCTACTGACGAACTTCCTTATTTTTAGTCTTCCTTTTTTTTGTACTTAGCAAAATTTTTAAGGTGCTTTTAAATAACTCCAAACAAAATTTCTGCTTATTTAAGCAGTTGGTTATAAACTGAAACTCGCCATTTGTAAATATAAATTTTGTTTCATAAACCATGAAAATCAGTTTATGTAATTTTTATACAAAAATTATCAATTAAATAAATAATAAAATTAACATTCGTTTTAATAGTTATGATTATTGAATTCACATTCCTTGTAAACTTAGTCGTGGACATATTCTATTAGTGTTATTTGCAAAGTAAAATTAGAATTTCTTTGAGAATCTTCTAGCATAATGAGTGCTTTGGGTCGTAGTAATTTGTCTAAATAATAAATTCAGGTGTGGCCTGTAAATAGCTACACCGATGCGGTTTGCAAATGTTTCAAACTGAGGCGATGCGATGCGCAGGCGCTAGCGTTATTTTGGCGGCGCGGTAACCGCTTGATTCAGAGAATTCAAAACTCGTAACTCACCTGATGTTCTCTGATAAGGACTCTTGGTTTTCAGCGAAAAACGATGCGCGAGCACTTCACAATTTTAATTGTAGTAAGTCTTTATATGAGGCAATAGCAGTTGAAAAAAGCGGGCTTCGTTTAGATTTAAATATTTTTAATATTTTCTTGTTTCCGCGAGTCATTGACATATTTGACGACTTTCACGGTTACGACTGACCTTAAGTCGATCTTGAAAACTATAAAGTAGGTATTCGAAACGTTGGAAATATTAATATAGCAATTAAAAACGCCAGATTTAACCGTAAGAGTAGTTATTATTATTAATTTCGCCTGTGGTGTGCAGAGAAGCGGGAATGCGAATAGTTTGCGCGAGTTCCAAATTTAAAATTACGTTCTTTGGTTATGCATTATTTGAAAAACAAGGAGTATTCTTTGGACCCCAAAGAGGTGGCGTCATAATGTTTGAACTCATAATAATATTCTTATCTGTGTTCAAGATAAGAAAGTCCTCAACAATTTTTTTTTATTGCTTAGTTGGGTGGACGAGCTCACAGCCCGCCTGGTGTTAAGTGGTTACTGAAGCCCATAGACATCCACAACGTAAATGCGCCACCCACCTTGAGATATAAGTTCTATGAATTTCAGTGTATTTCTTGTCTATTAACTTTCTGTTTCTGTGAAGTAAAGCTGTTGTATTCTTTGTACGAGGAGCACTGCTGCTTGAGATACAGGTTTTATCACCTAGTTCAAGCACAGATGCACATTATGCTTGTGTTTCTACTTCTATGTTAATAATAAATAAATAAACTTCTAAGGTCTAGTATAGTTACAACGGCTGCCCCACCCTTCAAACTGAACGCATTACTGCTTCACGGCAGAAACAAGCAGGGTGGTGGTAACGTTATAACGAAGTAACCATTTTAACTAACCAATTTTGAAGTACTGCTAACAAATTTTTCAAAATTATTACAACACAAATCTACTCCATCATTTACCGTTCTGTTCAACAAAAGTTCGTCCATGTGTTGGCGAGCCTTGGCCAAAATTTGTAGCGGGGTTAAAGATCGGTATTTTTGTTTAAAATTTAATATTATTTATTAGTTTAAACCTTAAAATATAACTTAAAGTTCATGTGCTTACCGAAAGTAAGATACTCCGGCCGGTAAATTGGTTTTTCGGGCATTATTTTTGCAACTTTTGAATACACACTGCTGCATTGTGAGACGGGTTGACGTCTGGTTGACGGTTGGTGTCTGAAGAGAACTAAACATAATAAGAGCTCACATGTGCTCCATGTTATTGTGCTCCAGTGAGCTGTTATTTAACGAGACGGATTTTTGCACCGACCCGAAATCTAGTTACTATTGTTGATCGAAGCGGCGCACGCTTTTTTTTCCCCTACCTGTGCTGATAGCCTAGAGAGGCTATTTCAGCGTAACCTTAACTAATTGGTGAGCTCAGAGGGCTCAAACCCATAGACCCATATACACTAAACCTGACGACGTTGCTAACACGAACCCCAGCAAGAGCCGTGCTGCGCAGAATCTACCACCGGATCGGAAACGCGACCCACTGAGAAGATCCGGCGAGAAACTCAGTGGGCTGTGTCTGGACAAAAATAGAGACAGAGTTATTTTTGAATTTATAATATTAGTATGTATAACAATTACCAGATTCACTGGTGGTAGGACCTCTTGGGAGTCCGCACGGGTAGGTACCACCACCCCGCCTATTTCCGCCGTGAAGCAGTAATGCGTTTCGGTTCGAAGGGTGGGGTAGCCGTTGTAACTATACTGAGATCACTGGTGGTAGGACCTCTTGGGAGTCCGCACGGGTAGGTAACACCACCCCGCCTATTTCCGCCGTGAAGCAGTAATGCGTTTCGGTTCGAAGGGTGGGGTAGCCGTTGTAACTACTGAGACCTTAGAACTTATCTCGAGGTGGGTGGCGCATTTACGTTGTGGATGTCTATGGGCTCCAGTAACCATTTAACACCAGATGGGCTGTGAGCTCGTCCATACATCTAAGCAATAAAAAAAAAGTAAAAAAATTATTATATTTTATTATATATTTTTTTTGATAACGTCATCTTGTTGTGTCTTTAAAGCGGTTAGTTGCCCTCAATTAAGAAAAATAGTACATATTATTATTCGCCAATAGATGTCGGGAAGAGTTGATTATCAAAAAACACGAATAAAACAACATTTTCTGAAAATAAATCGTAGCTAGATCGATTTATCGCCCCCAAAATTCCCTGTATACTAAATTTTATGAAAATCGTTGGAGCCGTTTCCGAGATTCAGATTGTATATAATAATATATTAATTAATATACAAGAATTGCTCGTTTAAATGTATAAGATTAGGACTATCTTTCATATACTTGTCTTTTAAAAAATACATGGTTTTAGTCAAGTGTAGACCTAAATTGGTACTACTTTTAATTTATAAAAAAAATGTTTTATTTTATTTTTGCTTACTTTAGTATACTTAGGTCATGTCAGTACCTAAAAAGTTAAAAATGAATTAAAATTAAAATACTACCTACGAATTTCATTTAATAACATTTATTAAAGTCTTTCATGATACAAATTATCCTAGAAAATGTCACAATTGAAATGTTAAAACAATAATATATAAAAATAACAAAATGAACAGGTTGATTTGACTTTTATTTATTAAGTACCTACCTTTATATTATTATATTATGTTACTATTATCTTAACTTAAAAAATAATACATAATTAAATTGATTTAGCACACCGAAATCCTAAATTCCCTGCGGAACTATCTAGAGTGTTATGTGATCGTGCTGAACATCTATATCGGTAACAATAGGAATGGTGGCATAAATACGAACCACCTTTCTTCACCTTCTCTTTGGGCTGAAATATAAAAATACAGTTTTACCAGTTGTATGTCATCACATAGACATCAATAATTATTTCAAGAAATATACCCCTTTAGCATTCAGCCCATTACCACCGCAGTGTGGATATTTATTGTGTTGATGGTTGAACAAACTCAGATGTATCAAGTTTTTTTATTTAAAATTATACAAAACATTATCTAAAAGAAATTTCCCAATATATATTACAGTTTCTTTGAGGTTCTTAAGAGAATATTGTGTATTTTACATTGCTCTTGCTACACATCAATATGCAGAATTAATGTGTACCAAGTTTTAAGAAATGATATGATTTTACATACCAAACATTCAAAACTCTTTTTACTTCTAAGGAAGTTTTCACAATTTTTCTAGCCCCAACATCAGAAAAAGTAACTTTGTATCTGCCTATTCAGTCACATGTTGCATATAATCAATTTCATAACTTTCAATAAAACCTTATATATTTGTTTTGACATTTGACTGTACTATATAATTCANTCGGGTAAATAGGGATTACACCTATTTTTGCATTTTTTGCTTAAACTGGAAATCTAGTTGCATAATTTTAAATTAGACAACAAAGATGCCCCCAAGACTCAATCATTTTGATCCTGATATAGCATTGTATACATCAACAACTACCTTAAAATTGCTCATAAAGTTGGAATTTGTCCCTAATCGCCCCATTTTACGGTACCGTACTGTTACGTACTGTAGGTAAACATATCTTTTTTTTGTTGGAGTTTATGGCCTGGTATAGACCTTTAGACTTTGTATAAACACCTCTATGTCAACTTAAACATATCTATGGCTACTTAGTTCAGAGACTAATGCCGGCCACTGACATGCGCGAGAATATTAGTACATTGTACGAATGTTTGGGCGCATGTGAAGGGCCGTCAAACATTCATTCGCAAACCTAGCGACTGTGCAAATGGGTTCGCATACTCAATTTGCGAACCCGTTTGCGCTTCCTCCTACACTTGTTTACGAATGTCTCACGAATTTCTCCTCCTTTTTAATTCGTCAATAGAACGTTGAAAAGAAAAAGAGTTTTGAATTCTTTCCCAGACATCATTATCAGCCATGCTGTTTTTATGACGAATGCTGCGAAAGCTTTGCATAATCATTCGCAAATGTCGTCCTACACTTGCAGGTTTGCGTATTCGTGCGCATGTGAGTGACCGGTGTAATAATGAACAGAGAGATACTAGTGGGAGTAGGTGTTTTCTCTTGATGTTCTTTTTTTCAGTTTGTTTTCGGATTGAATAGCAATAAAGCAATTAAAAAAAAAGCTCCTTTACGTGTAGATGAGCTCACGGGGTTCAAACCGAGAGTGTTACTAACACTGGTCCATTGAGATGTGCTTCGCACCATCGCTTCCAAGAGCAGTGCTTCGCAGAATCTACCATAGGATCGGAAACGCGACCCACTGAGAAGAAACTCATAGGGGCTGTATCTATGGGTTAATTTACTTATCGAGCCCTTCGTCGCAAGCGACGGATTCGGCGAGGACGGTGACCGGTGCGTCCGGTGCTTGAGGTAAATAGGTACCTAAAAGCACCGTTAATGGATCGGGAGGTCACACATACAAATTTATTTCTTTCTTATATAGAAATAAGGACGAGAACAGATTGCGTGGTGGAGATAAACTTCTTTTTATTGGGGATTCCTCTTGGGATTTTTGTAATATTGCCATTGCAAAATTTATTAAGTTGATAGACTGAGATTCGTTTTAAGTACTCAGTAAATGATAAAATATTTACAACAACGTAATTTATAATGTTAATACGGTAATATTTGACCAGGTAATAATAATATTACCTTGACGGTAGATAGAGACCAGATTACGGTGCATCTACGGTAAACACCGTGTAGGTAGGTATAATACCTAAGTATATGGAGACACGGCTTCCTGTGAAAACATTATTGCCAGTGTCGTAGACCAGTACTTAGAAAAATATATTTTTTAAGGGATTTTATGACCTTGATTTTATGTCTTATATTTAATTTATATTCTTATTTTTATGAAAAATTATAATATGGAGTGAAATGAAATGAAATGAAGATGATTAATTTAAGACATTAATCAACCTGGATGAAATGAAATGAAATGAGATAATATGGGATTAAATATAATCTCAGTAAAATGGTGGTCATTTAATGAGATTTTTTCACTGAACATTTTGGAGGATCCCAAGAAGTTACGTCCAGCGGCTTTGTCCATTTTCCCACATTTGTACAGTTTCACAGATATTAAACAGTTAATAAACCACCGTTATTACACATTTAAACCTGAAGAAACACTAATTAGACAAAATAAAACGAATCACACAACTTCACTCCTCGCGTTCCCCAACTTAGAAAAAAAAACACATTCAAGGTGGAAAGAGATGAGACGAAATTAAAGAAAAAAAAGCCCCAATAATGTAGAGAACTTATTAAAATTGCCCGAGAAGCCATGTTCAACGACTTAGTATTTTAAAGATACGAAATTAACTTTATTTTACTTTTAAACCTTAAATAGTTTCACTGCTCTTTCACTTTACTATATTCCTGCTAAGATGTGCCTATGAAATGCCGTACCCAATCCGGTGAACCGAATCGACATCGCCTGAAACACGTCATTACGGGTCCTCCCGATCCATTGGACCCGTTGGCTTTGAGGTATCTCAAGCACCGGTCACCGTCCTCTCCAAACCCTTCGCTTGTGACGAAGGGCGCGACAAGTAAATTAACCCATAGATACAGTCCACTGAGTTTCTCGCCGGATCTTCTTAGTGGGTCGCGTTTCCGATCTTATAGTAGATTCTGCGAAGCACTGCTCTTGCTAGGGCCAGTGTTAGTACACTTCTGGCTTGAGCCCCGTGAGATCACCTACTAGCTCGGTGAATCTAGAATAACCCCTCCAAGTTGCTAGAATAGATAGAAAAAAAAATGAAACGTTTAAGAACATTTATGAAAGATAATATCCATGTTCGCGACAACCTTGTTAATTTTACGTATTCTTGGTTTGAAATTAACGTCCGTATTATAATTATTATTATATTCAATTTGCTTTTGGTGAAGTGAACGTTGGTTTAAAATCCAACCGAATTGAGTGGACTCACTTCTCACTTGCCTTCCGTTTTTTTTAAAGAAAGCATAGAAAAAACTGCCAATTTGATTAAATATTATGAAAATTTTATTCTTCCACCCTACTACGCTCCATACAATAACCTTATAAATATCTATTAATTACGCTTATTTATTTACCAACCTTTAATACTTTGTAAATGTAAATAAAAGACTAGATTCGCTTAAATGGTTATAATTTTATCCAAAAATAATCCTATAAAAAAATGAAAATAATAAAAAATAAAATGTGAATTTCAAACCTTTACGAATTATCGGAACGTAAATTGGCGGAGGAGGAATCCTGAAAAAAATGTGGATAATTTAAATTGTTGTACTAGTAGACGTGAATCCCTGTGCATGTTTTAACAGACATTCATTAGTTTATTTATTATATAGGGACGGTACTGATGGTGGGCCATATCTTCCAGATTGTTACTGCCGTACAACCATAGTTGTATTCTAGTTATGAATATAGACAACCGTTATTTTAAAATAATGGAGACTTCGAATTCAGTTCTCAAGTTTGAATCAAGACCGACTTCCATGTTCAGAGTGCTTAGTGCTAGTTTCTTAACGTTCTCGATAGCGAAAAGTTAATCCAATTTTGTATGCAGTTGGAACAGCGCCCCTAACGGCAAACGTACGCAAACGATCCCATTCCATACAAATATGACTTTTACGCTATCGAGAACGTACGAAAATACCCTCTGATAAGGGATTTCTATAAGATTGTTTTCTGTGAATTTCAATAAAGTACTTGTAGTAAGTGCTTGAATAAGATTGTCTAATAGCATGAGCTAAAGTAAAAGTTGAACTTGCCGTTTTAACTCAGCGGCTACTTTGAATTAAATTCTTAAACCTGAATCTTTTAAGAATCGTGATTTAAAAACTAGAATATGTGTACACCAAACAATTTAACTACCCTTCCAGCCGCAGCTCCGCTTGCGCGGACTATACATCTCGTGAGCGGAGACTCGTACTCTGTAGTGGAATGAAATATAGTCTACTTTCTTTTCTAAGGCTCAACCTATTTCCATAAAGAATTTCATCGAAATCCGTTTTGTAGTCTGGGCGTGAAAACGTAACAGACAGGAGCTACTTTTACTTTAACAATATGTTTTTGCTTTGTTACTGAAGAGTACAAAAGCAAATTCCTAAATTCGTTAAATGACAATTACTTTTTCCGATATTCGATTTTGATGAAAAAAGGAAAAAAAAAAGGTTTTAATGAAAAAATGTACAGAAAATTATAAAGTTAAAGCTACAAAGCAATCTATATTTCAATCCTCAGACGTCCACTGCTGGATATAGGTCTTCTCAAAGCCTCGCCACCATAATCGGTCCGCTGTCTGCATCCAGCGCATTCCTTCAATCTTCAACATGTCGCCTGTCCACCTTGTGGGAGGCCTACTCAGGTAAATCTAATTATCTATTACGTTTTTACGCCGAAACAACTAAACCTATTTTGACGAAATTCGTTATAGAAATAATTTGGACCCCCCGGAAGAATATAGGCAAGATACCTTTTAATCAAAAGCTGCACGGGTGTTCAATCACTCGATATAAAGTCTAGTACACGTAGATCGGAAAGTCAGTAAAAGATAATCATTTATAATTGATATATTGAAACAGAAAAACTACCTTCACTTACAAGAGCAGAGGAACAATGTCTTCTTGCTTCATCTTTCCATAGTACTTGATAATTCCGTCCACATGACCCATGCCAACTACTCCTAGTACGCGTGGACTTTCCACTGTTAAAATGTTAATTAACAATTAATTATTACCTACATAAACAGCAGAAGATACTGCTATGCCATAATTAAAATCTTGCGGCCAACTTCAGAAAATTCTAGACTAGCGACGATGAACAAATTCTGGTTTGAAAAGTAGAACAGCCATTGTACCAAAGCCACTAAGACTTTAACTTCGTTTCAAGGTGTTCCTACAGCAGCGTTTATGTTGTGGTGTCTACAGGCTACAGTAACCGTTCAAGGGCAAAAGGGTCGTGAAGCCGCCTTCCTGTGTCAATAAATAAAAAAGAATTCATTAACAGCTAACCTGAACGAACACACTCTTGCAATGAATATGCAAGACATTTATCCCTTTCATCGACAAAAACATGGAATATCTTTTTGAATGCCGGCACGTCCTTTATTATTTCTTCAAATTGAGATTGTACGAACTCTTTGTCTTTGTACTTTTCCAGATTATTTTTACTAGAGAAAGTTCAAGTTGACCTTACATATAATAGTTGGTAAACTTAATACGAGGTATAAACTAAACCTACAGTTTCAAACTACTTTTTGTGATTGAGGCATCACTGGTGGCCTGGTGGTTTCCAGTTTTATCAGTCCAGGTGGGCGAGCAAAGGCTCAGCCAAGATAAAGCAAAGCAAATTCAAAGTAGGCGATCTATTAGGCAGTCGTCGTGGCCTAAAGGATAAGACGTCCGGTGCATTCGTGTTGAGCGATACACCGATTCTCGAATTTCAGGCGGGTACCAATTTTTCTAATAAAATACGGACTCAACAATTATTCACGATTGACCTCCACGGTAAAAGAATAACATCGTGTAATAAAAATCAAGCCCGCAAAATTTATAATTTGCGTAATTACGGCGGTAGGACCTCTTGTGAATCCGCGCGGGTAGGTACCACTACCCTGCCTATTTCGGCCGTGAAGCAATGATGCGTTTCGGTTTGAAGGGTGGGGCAGCCGTTGTAACTATACTTGAGACTTTTTTTTTATTGCCCTTGTAGGCAGACGAGCATACGGCCCACCTGATGGTGAGTGGTTACCGTCGCCCATGGACTTCAGCAATGCCAAGGGCAGAGCCAAGCTGCTGCTTACCGCAGCCTACCTTAGAACTTACATCTCAAGGTGGGTGGCGCATTTACGTTATAGATGTCTATGGGTTCCAGTAACCACTTAACACCAATCAGTTGGGCTGTGAGCTCGTCCACCCATTTAAGCAATAAAAAAATAAAAAAACGAAGACTGCTGTTGCATGGTTAGTGGTATGGGCTAATATAGATAGCACCGGTAAGTAGGTAATACGGTTTTGCTCCGACCATCTTGCTCACTTGTGCCGCACCATGGGTTCCGACTTGAAAATCCTATATTGAAGTCGTCGAATTTGAAAAGTTTGTTTTATGTTATATTTCAAGTAAGGCATATACATATAAACAACGAGCTCAAACCGATTTTTATTTTACAAGCTATTTATGAGTTCATTGACATATTTATGTACATACCAACGCGGCAACGGTCTTGATAACCCACATAAAGTTTATCAAAAAAAACGTACTAAAGTTTATCAAATTACTAAAGACTAAATTACAATTTAGATACAAAAACGAGGATCAATTACACATACTCTAAGGGCTTCGGGTTCGATGTTGAAATGTGATACAGGACTTGACCCAGCTCGTAGACACTTAGCGACTGAAAAGCTCGTGCTATTGTTATTTGAATCGGTCGATCTCCAAGATACAATTTACATCCAGGAATTTTTTGCATCTGTCAAGTATACGATAAATTTTGTACCAAATACTGATACTGCTCCTTAAGACTATATTAGTAAAAAATATATTCTCCTGGCTACTGTTACATAAACTATATTGGTTAACGCGATTTCGTATTCATTTGATTTTCATTCTTGTTTCCCTTACCAATTATTGAAAAATAAATAAATTTAAATTCCAGGAGATTTAACGTAGGTTTAATCTTTATTTTGAAAGAATTTTCAGACTGAACTAATCAGTATTCGTAGTAATAAAAATAAAATATAAAATCTATAAAATTTGGATTCATACATTCATCGAACTGTTTGGTAGATAAATCTATTATGATAAGAGAACATATATTTTAAAGAAATCAAACGTTTTATTATAGAGTACTAGCTTTTGCCCGCGACTTCGTCCGCGTGGAATAGTTACTTTGGCATAACGCTAAATTTTACCCGCGACTTCATTTACAGTAACTCAGGATTGGAAATTCATGACTGAACCGGTAGATGGCGTTGAAGAAGCTAGATTTTGAGATTTTTTGACAAATATTTTACAATTTTACAAAGTTTCATGATGATCGGTTGAGTAATTTTCGCGTGAAAGCGTAACAAACAAACTTACATTCACATTTATATATTAGTAGAGTTTTTGATTACCTCGTGATATGCTCTCCGGAATTCTCCTCCAGGAGCAACACCTAGCTCTTTAGCTATATCAGCATAAGTTTTGAGCAGCATGGCATGGAGCATACCAGTTACGAGATTTTGGCCTTTGACGGCTTGTCTGTTAAAAACCTTTTGTTTTAAATTTTAGTTTAAGTTTATACTTACAATAAAAAAATGTCAGAAGTGATTTGGAATTGTAGGTAAGTAAACTGTCTACTTATCTTCTAATTATCAAAAACTGGTATTATAACTCCTATTCAATACGTTTGAGACATCGACCTCAGTTTCAATCAGGACAGTTGTATAACAATAGTCAAGTATCCTACCCTTGAAACCGGAATGTATGACTGCTTTGCGACAGACATAAGGAGGCTGGTGTAACCTACCCGTGAGGGTTTACACTTATACACCAAAAAATTATCGGTTCAGGTTCGAAGTACAATACTTAGATACTTCTCCGCTGAATCCCTTCGACGCCTTGTACAACACCTACGGGAAGAGATGGGGTGGTGCTATTCAAGAACGACACCAAACAGGCGAAATAATGATTTGTCAAAACTCACTTTAGCTTTTTGGAATCAAAATTTTTTGCATCTTCCAAAAACTTCTTTTCGTCTAGTTCCAATAATGATACTCTTTGGCGACAAAGTTCTACCAAAATACCATTGGGATTCAGTATCTTTACTATCTAAAATAATTTTACGATAAACAAGACCGAATATCCGTACTCATACACATTTAAGCCTAACGTCAAGGTGTCATAAGACAAGGTGAATGATCAATTTAAGATATGAGGTCGAATCTCAGTTACCGTATAACTGTTTGTTTCTCTATCCTTGAAAACCAGAGCGCAAAAAATACTACGCAGTAGAAATAGGCAAGATGGTACCCACCGTAAAGGACTCATAGTACAGTCTACCAACCCTAACTGTGCAAATCTAAATTTTCTAAGTTCACTTTATTCAATATGTTCTTCCTCCACCGTAGAAGTCGTTATTAATAATATTGCATTAAGCCATGTCAATATCAGTTTAAAAGTTGCACTAAGTGAAAATAATGTTTTATAATTAAAACTACTTTTACGGTTTTAACCTGGCGTCTTTTATTATCTTTACATTATTTCCGACGTTTTGGACACTATAGTTTTTGTCGTTTTACACTTGCCGGGGTCGTATACGACTAGAGAAAATCCAAAAAAATACTAAATTACGTTTCTTCAGACTACTATTTAAAGTGCACTGTAATTCTTTTTTCTTGTCCTGTATATTCATTATGATTAATAATAACTTATAAGTACATACTTATAAATATTAACTTAAAAATAAATAACTCCCTAATTGCTATATTGAGAACTAGTACCTAGTAAAGTGTGTTTTAAGCCTAAATATGTTAATTTACGATCCCGCTTATTTGTTATTTTAAATGAAACAACAATGGAAAACTTCCACCGAGCGAAGGTTTTTGCAGATACGGGTCCCGGCCTAAGGGGTACTGGTGTGTTCCCCGCCTACCATGTCACATGAGGTTTCCTGATCAATGCGGGAGAAACAATATCTATTAGAGGCCTGTGAGGGTTAGCGCTTGCTTGCCGTATCTGCGTCTAGGTAGGTATTTTATAGACATCCTCTGGCCTTGAGTCGTGGAAAGCTGTTGGAGAGGCCATTGTGNTTTTTGCAGATACGGGTCCCGGCCTAAGGGGTACTGGTGTGTTCCCCGCCTACCATGTCACATGAGGTTTCCTGATCAATGCGGGAGAAACAATATCTATTAGAGGCCTGTGAGGGTTAGCGCTTGCTTGCCGTATCTGCGTCTAGGTAGGTATTTTATAGACATCCTCTGGCCTTGAGTCGTGGAAAGCTGTTGGAGAAGCCATTGTGGTTTTATACGAAACGAGAGTGACCATTTTGGCTTAGAGATCACACTCACATTGGTCCTCCTCGTCCGTAGATCCTTAACGAAATTTATCCAAAACAAAAAAAATATGCAAATAATGAGATTCCAGCAAGCATAAGTAGCAAGAGTTGTAGTACCCGATTACAAACCCACGATTATTTTTTAGCAGACCATTCATAGAGATATTACTAGTGAACAACATATGCCACGTTACCTCTGAAACATCTTCAATAGACTGTTTGCTGAAGTGCACTGTACCCAAAAGAACGACCGTGGCTTGTTTATCATTTTGCAAAAGTGTAGCAGATTTTGGTAAATGCTGGGATACATCACTTTTCTTTCGTGATAGAACCTTTTCTGTAAATATTACAATTCATAATCATATTTTTATTTCACTTATTGGTTGGAGAAAGTGACGGCCAACTGATGTTATCGAATCCGATAAAACAAAATACGTGAATTACATAACCCAGTTTTAGTTATAAGGATGTCTCAATGAAACTGTATATAACGACTGTCCTAGTCTTTAAACCATAATGCCTGGCTACTATGTAGGTACGTAAACTACTTCGTTTCAAAAAGAGGCAGACCGTAGCGTGAGTAGATTCTGCGAAGCACTGCTCTTGCTAGGGCTAGTGTTAGCAAATTCTCTGAGGTTGAGCCCGTGAGCTCCGAAGAAGCTGGAAAAGCCCCTTAGGCTAAGAGCGAAACAGAGTAACACGGACTACTTGCGGACTTACAAGACGTCATACCACCAGTAATTACGCAAATTATAATTTTGCGGGTTTGATTTTTTATTATACGACGTTATTCTTTCACCGTGGAAGTCAATCGTGAACATTTGTTATGTACGTATTTCATTGCAATTAAAAGTTACAGTCAGTTAGGTATCTGATATTGTCCAGGCTAATGTAGTGTAGATACGTATTTTCAATCGATGACCACATTAAATACAATAGAGATTTTATTTTAAATATGTGAAAGCATTTTTTTAATTCACATACCAAATGGCAACAACTCGAAGGCAACAACGTACAGAAATTTGAATTACGTGGTTAAAATAGTGATTAAGTTGAATTTATTACCTATCTAAATTGTATGTTTATGATTAGGTACGGTTTATGATTAGGTAATACTGAATAAGAATGTTGTTATACACTTACGACTATAATATGTTTGTACAGTGTTTGGTTTTGCTGTGACAATGCTTTCAATATTCTTAAATAACAATTGTCTAGCTATTACACATATTGGGCATTTCATATTTTATTTCACTATTTATAAAAACTAGAATTTCGTCACATATCTGTAAAATAGACGAGAATTTATTTTAGGTGGTATCGAAAACTGATTTATAAATTACTACACCATAATTGATAGGTTAAAACAATAAATTTATCTCACAAATAGGTTTGATTCGTTTGCAAGGAGTATGGACTCACCTTGAGTACCTACCATTGGTTTTGTTATTCAAATTTCTACTGGAAGATAAAAACAAAACAGTTACTTTTTAGGCAAATTAAAATATTTTTAAGTGAGTAATTTATTGAAGACATTGTTGAACTTTTAGCTGGAGCGCGAGTAGCGAAGTTCTGTGAATTGTTTTTTGTAAATTTACTGTTTCTACAGGTTTAAATGTGTATAATGGTAGTTTATTAGCTGTTTAGAATATGTCAAAGTGCTCAAATCTGGGGAAAATAAATAAAGCCGCTGGACTTCTAGAGTTTTATTTTCCATTAAGTCAATGAAACTCTCAGTAAATAATCACTATTTTACTGAGAATTTATTTCATCCCATATTATCTCGTTCCATTTAATTTTATCCCAATTGATTGAAGTCTCTAATTTATCAACTTCATCTCATTTCGCTTCATATAATTTTTCATATAAGGGAATTTGTATGAACGTATTTAAAAAAGAGTGTAATTTCTTTTCCCTACCTGTTCGCTGGTAACTTATGGAGCTATTTCAGCTACGTCCGGTCGGGTAGGTCAGCTCACGGGCTCACCCTAAAATAATTTGCTAACACTAGCCCTGGCAAGAACAGTGCTTCGTAGAATCTACCACCGAATCGGAATCGCGACCCACTGGGAAGATCCGACGAGAAACTATAGGCTTATCGGTATACCAAGCGTGCCGCTACCCGTTTTATTTGTATACTGTTTACATACAGAGTTAAAAGTTATATCTTAGCGTTAGAGTGTCGAAAGTAACAACCTGTGATCCTAGCAGAGATCATCCGAAAGGACACTGTTTTTGTTATATTACTGTTACTTCGAACCGAAAAATTATAACTGCATGTGGAATGGAAGCGGAATAAAAAGCAACTCTCAGTAACTAATAAGATATTTATTGGCAAATATTAAAATTAAACTTACAAAATTTAGACCTAACGTTCATTTCAAAGATGGTAACATGTTCATTGTACTTAATGTTGTCTATTATATTTAATGTATTAATATCGAGAAACAACCAGCATAAAATAGTAGTAATAAATTCTATAGTATTGTTTGAACGATATACAACTACATGTATATTTAACTAACTACATAGTCATAAGGAATAGAAATCTTCTTATACATCAGATGAGATACACCTATCCATATTCATAAGTTTCATTTAATATTATTCTTATACAGTTCAGCAGGACGACCAGTGAATCTCTGTCACGCTTGGCTGTCTTTATCTCTGTTCGAAAATAAACATATTAAACATATTTAATTTATATATTATATAAAGGATAATAAACATATTTATTGAATCTACTCGCAAATAACGATAATGATTGTAGTACATTCATGATATTAGACCAGACATTTTCAATGCAAATTAATAGCATCTACCCCTCTATAGAAGTTTCAATTCAATCGGATTAACGCATAGAAAACGAACAAACAAACTCTTCTTTTTATGTAATTCGAAAAATAACAATAGAGTTTATGGTGTTTGCCGTTATTGTTCAATTAATTTTAAATAACTTTCTTCTAGAATTTTACGGTTTTTCATACACTCGTTACCATTATAAGCTTCACACATGATTTAGGTAATCCACCAATACTAAGCTCTTCACACAGAAGCAACCCGCAATCAGTATTTTTGTGCTTGGTTATAGACTTCTATTGTCAATCCGTAAAACATTGCCATTATTTGTTTCATTTTTAATAAGGCAACACAATAGCATCCTCCGAAAAGTATTGCCATATTAATTTGTTTTTTTTTTTAAATAAGGCAACACCAACTTCCCTTCGTTAAAATCTACAAAGAATTCTTTAATTAAGCAATAAACGCTTGTTGTTATGAATGGTGGTTTTAGATTAAAATATCTTGTTTGTTTAGTACAAAAACTGTAAAATAATAAACAAAAAGCTAAACAGAAGCTGTGCCTTAAAGTTCTAATTATCTGTGTATACTGTTCGCAAATCCAATTCTTAACGACTACCTAGTACTTGCTACGAACAAATACGTACTATTCAGTAATACACTAGGTAATTATTATTTTTATTCAGTTAAAACTCAAATAGTTGAGTACATAGTCCTGCCTAAAACGATGTTTTAATTAATACTAAAAATATGAATAATATACAAACTGTATTCAATTATATAAATTCTACGATCTATCTATAATAACATGGATGGATTTTTTTTACCTTTTAAATTATCACAGTCCTTACTGTAAAATTTTGACTCAATTATTATTGCAATAAGCGTAAAAAACAAAAACTTCACAGAAAGTACTAGGAAACATTACATTATATAATAAGTCAGGATATATAATGAATAGTATATAAATAATACAGTGTATTAAGTACTCTCTAGTACTTACTGTAACAAAAATTACAAGACACTTATCAAAATACAACATGTTTATTTAAACTTGCATTTTAAATACAACAAATGGAGCAAAATCATCGTCTTGAAGGTATGTATATTATAAATTGTTATTGTTAAAAGTTATTTATTTGTAACATAAGAACAAAATTTTAAATTCGAATGCGCAAAACACTTTTGCAACGAGAGCTTAATGTACAAAAGGCCACTTTGGGTAGCGATCGCAGTCTTGAGGCATCTTCGGCGTATCCTTACGTGTTCTTAACCGCTCCAATACAAATGACTCATAGCACTATACTTTTGTTTTATTGTAAAGTTTATTTGTTTATATGTACTATAAAAACTGAGACCTTAAAACTTATGTCTCGATGTGGGTGGCGGAATTTACGTCGAAGATGTCGGAATAGCCCCTTAGACTACTGACGAATAGGTAGGGAAAAAAATGTATTCCTAATATTCGTAAATTGATTTGCGGTCCGCCATGCTATGATACACAGTCAAGCGCCAACAAAAGTACAGTTTCACATTATAATTCATACTACCATAATACGAAGTCATTTTCAAAGAAAATGCAACTCAAAGTTACGTAGTAGGAGTGAGACTCATTAATGCTTGCCAATTAAAACTGTGAAATTAATTGGTGCAAAGGAAATATTTTTCTAAAATAAATATTGAATCTAACCGGAAATCGAAACTGGATCCCGTAAAAGGGTAATTAGAACCGGTAAGTAATCTACAGCTGTGAACTAATAATATTAAATTGCGCACATGCGCAACATTTAAATTCAGTATAATATGTGTAGGTGATATACCTTATCAAGGATTATAATAACCTATTTTCCTTATATATATCTATTTCATTTATTTTTATATTATTAATTATAATTTTTCTTTTTTCGTTTATTAATAAAATTTGCGAACTTAGTTTCTTTTTTCAAGATTTTCATAATCATAGACAAGATCAAAAACAATTTTACGGTTTAATCTTATTTTTATTATTTTTTTTTTTAACAATTCTCTATTTTTAACGCTGTCTTTACAATTTCCATGGTCACGGAAAATCGTCTATATTAAAATAAAAGAGAAACAAAACGTAAAAATGTTTTTAACGACTTGCGAACATGTTACATCTTATCATTGAGGCAGGCGCGCTCGTCCGGACGTAAAATGTGAGCCGACAGACAAGTTTCGTAGCCTTCGAATCGACGTCGACGTGTTACCAACTGAAACAAACTGCCGTAGTTATGTACCACTTTTATATTTTTTTTATTATTTTTTACCTATTCTAGTGACCTCGAGGGATCATCCTAGATTCACCTTCTTTTTTTTCCTACCTAAGCTGAGAGCCTTGAGAGGCTATATCAGCGTAACCTTAACTAGTAGGTGAGCTCACGGGGCTCTAACCTGAGGACGTTGCTAACACTAGCACTAGCAAGAGTAGTGCTTCGCAGAATGTATCGCCGGATCGGAATGGCGACTTACTGAGCAGATCCGGCGAGAAACTCATTGGGCTGTGTCTATGGATTAATTTACTGGTGCTTGAGGTAACTAAAAGCACCGTTAGTGGATCGTGGGGATACGAAAAGACGTATAGTTATCAACACTTCTAGTTTGTCTTGACATAAATTAATAATCCTCTGAAACATAAAATAAATGTATGAAGATTTCGATAATATCTCGATGATCTAGGAGTTCATGTTAAACATTACCTACATGCATAAATTGGGGGGCCTGTCTGAACGTGAAGTTATATCAAACATCCGTTTTTGATTATTAATTAGTTTAAAATATATTCGTTTACAAATACAATAGGTTGCACTAGTTAATTGTCTGTATACGTTCTAGGATTCAGTGTTATAGTTTTTAGTTATATTGTCTATCTATTAATTTGGTCTTTCCCTGTCCAATGTCCATGAGTTTATTTGAGTAGATAAATTTAATGTTACACTATATAAATTAACGGATAACTAATTGGAGCAAAGTACTTAGTCTATCATTCTTCGCCCCACAAATCATTAGTTTGTGTAAAAATCATCCAAATCTGTTGCTGCTTGTTTGTCCAAAAAATTAATAGCACACTTTAATAAAATCGTTATTATATTTTGAGTAGATTCCCTCCAGTGAACGTTTTCTAGTGTTACAATTTTTAATCATATTATCTATCTATTAATTTGGTCTTTGCTTATCCGCAGTCCGTGATGTATTTGAATAGGTAAATTCAATATTACACTATATAAACTAACGGGTAACTAAATTGGAGTAAAGTACTTAGTCTATCATTCTCCGTCCCGCAAACGTACGTTTGTGTAAAAATCATCTAAATCTGTTGCTGCTTGTTTGTCCAAAAAATTAATAATAACACACTTTAATAAAATCGTTATTATGTTTTGAGTAGATTCTTTTCAGCGAACGTCTTCTCGCTGGAGGGAATCTAATCGGTACGATCCGTAATCCGATCCGTACCTCAGTATCAGGGCAGCAGGCGGCGTGGGAACAGCCGGTAGGCGGCGTACAGCACGCCGCACACGCACGCCACGCGCACGCTCGAGCGCAGCACGCGGGTCGACAGCGACGGCGGCGGCACTCTGTACGCAACACAAGCATCTCTTTTAAGGCTTCGTCGACTTTTTGGCGGGAGCGCGAGGAGTGAAGTTGTGTGATTTGTTTTATTTGGTCTATTTAGTGTAACTTCAGGTTTAAATGTGTAATAACGGTGGTTTATTAACTGTTTATTATCTGTGAAAGTGCACAAATGTGGGAAAATGAAACAAAATGGCTGGACCTAACTTCTCGGGATCCTCCAAAAAGTCCACTGAAAGCGTCTCAGTAAGTGACTAGGTACCATTTTACTGAGATTATATTTCTTCCCATATCACCTTATTTCATTTAAATTCGTCCCAGTTGATTAATGTCTCAAATTAATCATCTTCATTTCATTTCGTTTCACTCCATATCATTTTTCATAAAAATAAGAATATAAATTAAAATAGGACATGGCCTAAAAGTCTTACCAGGTCATAAAATCACTTAAAAAAATTAAGGCTTCGTCAAACAGAACGCGTACTTAGCGCGCATCAGAGCGCTAAGCTGACGGCGCGCTATGACGCCGAGATGTGTTGTACTACTATGGTAATAAGCTGTCAAACAGAGCGCCCCCGCTATAAGTACACAACGCTGTCGCGGCGTTAGGACGCTCTGACGTCAGACGTCATTTTTTACAAATTCAATTTTAGCGTCCGAGTGAATGTGTATTAAAATACTGGAAAATGCCCGAAAAATTGATAAATTAGTTAGAAAATACCCATGCTTATAATACAATGCCATATCTGAATCACTCGATATCTTAATACTATTAAATTTTCAGTCTGCTATAGAAAGGCACAATGATTTGGCGGATGTTACGTTGCGTCAAGTAGCGTTAGGTCAATTTGTGTGACATGAAAAGGGAGCGACGTTAAAACGCAGCGCTAAGTACGCGTTCTGTTTGACGAAGCCTTTAACGTCAGACTAGCCTGTCCTGCATGTCAGACGCCATTCGCGGGCAATATTTCAAATTCGACCTATGAAAGAATGCTTTTTTTGTCACGAGAGTAATAAGTTGCGTGCTCGTTGACATTCACAAAATTCCGGTTCGAAATATAAGACGGCCATTATTGTAATTAAACTAGACATCGACCTGGTATACTCAATGTCGTTTGTCGTTGCGCTTACTAATGTTACGCCCTGGGATTCGGGATAAATAAAAATTCTACCGAAGTACACTGTATTAGCACTTCTTCTTATCAGCCCATGGACGTCCACTGCTGGACATAGGCCTCGCCACAAAGACCGGTACTGCACTGCCTGCATCCAGCGGATCCCCGCCTACCCACGCTACGTCTTCCAGTACGCGGTCGCCACTCAAGAACTTTCTGGCCCCAACGATCATTCGTTCTGCGAGCAATGTGTCCTGCCCACTGCCACTTCAATGTCGCAATCCTTTGGGCTATGTCGGTTACCATGGTTTTCCTGCGAATCTCCTCATTTCTGATTTGATCTCGCAGGGAAACTCCGACCATAGCCCTCTCCATTGCTCTTTGGGTGATCTTGAGCCTTCTCATAAGGCCCATTGTGAGCGAGCACGTCTCAGTGCCATATGTCATCACTTAGAACACTTCACTAACACTATAAAGTTCTCAATTCGCTTCTTTCGCTTCGCTTCAGGTGATCCATTCGTTGTTCCGCTTTGAGTAGTTCCGATTACTAACTAATTGCGTACCATCATGCAACGCATTTATAGCCGATACGACATCCCTAGAATTATCGAGAACATTCCTCACAAGTCGAGTATTTTCGATATGCGTTTCTGCTATCTGACAATAGATAGCGTTGTACGTCTCAAACCTTCTAGATGCTACTAGATCTTTCGATATTCGTTCGGCTATTGGGCGATAGATGGCGTTACTCTTACCGGCGTAACACTAATTATGGGATTATTATTAAATTAATTATTATAAAATTATTATTAAAGATTTAATATAAAAAGATATTAAAGATTATTATTAAAGTGTTCTCTGAGTGTTCTAAGTGCTAATACAGTTTTAATTTATACTTCGGTAGAATTTTTATTTCGCCCGAACACCAGCGCGTAACAATATCAAACAATATTTTTATCATCTTGATGGCAAAATTCAAATGAACTTACAGTAACAAAGGCGGAATGTCTTCTGGCTTGATCTTGCCCCAGTGCTCCACGATGCCGCCGACGTGGCCGATCCCAACGACTCCCACGATGCGACAAGGCTCGTGACCTAACAGCCAATTTTTATTATTATTATCATCATAGTTTACACAAGCCCACTGAGTTTCTCGCCGGATCTTCTCAGTGGGTCGCGTTTCCCATCCGGTGGTAGATTCTGCGAAGCACTGCTTTTGCTAGGGCTGATATTAGCAAATTCTCTCAGATTGAACCCTGAGCTTATCACCCATTCGCGCGTAGTGGAATAGTCCCTACCAGCGAATAGGTAGGAAAAATAAGAAACGAATACGCCGGTGTTCGTTCAACTTCCCGTAGACGAGTACCAATTTTTCGAATAGCATACGCATTTGACGGTAGTTCACGAACTATGTCCAAGATGAAAGTAAAACATCCGTCAGAAAGTAACAGAAAAGTATTTTTTATGCCCTTGCAGGCAGACGAGCATACAGCTGATGGTGAGTGGTTACCATCGCCCATGCACCTTAGCAATGCCAGGGGCAAAGTCAGACCACTGCCTACCGCTTCATACTCTCCACAAGCCTAGTTTGAAGAAGGACATGTCATAGCGATCGAGAAACACCGCGGCGGGGAGCTCATTACAAAGTCGGATGGTACGTGGCAAAAAAGATCTCTGGAAACGCACTGTGGATGATGACCCAATGGCTAAAAATGTTAAAATTGCGTGAATTAAGTGCTACTTCAAGCCGCTCTAGTTTCAGGGGTCGCACTCTCATTGTACAATATAATTGACATTTCGAAATATGTTTTCTTTAAGCTTAGACGCGTGGACAAACAAACGGCTTGCCTGGAGTTAAGTGATTACCGGAGGCCATAGACATTTACAGCGACAGTCCCTCACACAATACTTATACAAAGTAGAGTGTAGCATAAGTGGGAATGAGTGACTGTGTTAGATCCAGAATGTATCTAGAATGCACGTAGTTCCTATATACTTGATACTGGAGAGTACAATAATATAAACACAATATATAACACAACATAACATGGTTTTCCCTCGATTAATTAACAATTAGTTTCCCCCTATATCCCCCCAATTCAGTTGTGCCGAATGATACGTAAAAGATACGGGTACTGAAACTGATGGAGACGATACTTCTTTAGGATTGTTTTTATCGAATCATCGATAGGTACTTACGCGGCTGCAGAGCAGCTACTTGCAGGGAATGACACAGGAACATATCTCTTTCAACTACAAACACTTGCTTTAATGCGGGAAATTCTTCAGCCATTTCCTCCAACATATCATCCAACATTTTCTTCTGTTTACATTTTTCCACTTCTTCTAAGCTGTAAAAAATATATACAACATTAAGAATTCTAAAAATATTATTCCTAATGCGAATCAGAAAACGAACGCGACATCTACGCTTCAGAATTTTTTAATTTTTACATGCAGATGTTTGAGAACAACATTCACTGTATAGCAAACCAAAACGGGACTAATATACAGTTTACCTTGAGATTAACGGAAATTAATGTTTATTTGTTAAGCTAGCAAATACTATAGGTCTGATAATAATTATATATAAATAATAATATGTCATTAGGATTCATGGTCAGGTTTAAGAGTTGACAACCTTACAGTCAAAGATTACCTTATAGTTTGATTAGACGTAAGTAAATGCCATATGAATCTTATAGTCTGTCCCCAGGAGAGTGACGCGATAGCTCTATGCAAGGTAACGTCGATCGCTCTGTCACCGAGTTGTACAACACAGTTCGGAATCTTTTTCGCCTGAAAAAAAAAAAAGGTTTTTTAGGAATATTTGTCTTGGCTAAAATTTACTTCAATCGCAAGAGTTAAGTAGATCACATAGTTAAATCTTCCTTTTGTAAGCATCTTCAGTGAAGAAATACAGTAGGAATGTACTTTTAATATGGTTTTATAGCAGTATAGATAATCACCTCTGCCATAGCACGTCGGAATTCCCCACCAGGTGCCATACCTAACTCTCTGGTGATATGAGCAGACATATTTAAGAGAAGAATGTACATGAGTCCATTGAAGACACCATTTTGAGCCATTGTTGCCCTGAAAACAACACATTAAATTAAATACTAAGTTTCATGTTCTAAAGTAAAAACGTTATTATTATTATTAAAACAGTTAAAAAAAAGTCAATTATGAAATTAGTAAGGTTTAATAGAAAATAAATGGTCCTTTTTTATTATTTTATTATTTATTTTAAAAGACACAATATACCAACCTTATTTTCTTGATGTTAATATTTTTAGCTTCTCTAAGAATGACTTCTTCATCGAGCAATAAAATATTGGTTCTCTGAACGCATAACTCAACTGTAACAATATGGGGCTTTACCTCTTGTATTACCTGAAATATAAATTTACTATACAAAAAACTTAAATGTTTGTACCTAAATGTCATAAAACACTATAACAAAATTCAATTTTCAATCATTAGTTTAATTTAAGTTTGGAACTACATTAATTATCAAGTTCAAGGAACGATCTTTGTGGCGAGACTTGGGGGAGGCCTATATCCAACAGTGTACATCTGTGGGCTGATAGAATAGAATAGTGCCAACATAAGTAACATTTTTGCATATTATAATATGGACTTAGCTTATTTAATTAATGTCTTGACTACAAACCCGAGATACATCTTCTTGTGATTGTAGACTGAAATGTGCAGTACCGATTAAATACACCTTTCCGCCATCAGGCGCATCTAGTACTGTGACAGTGCTAGGCAATCCTTCATCTAAAGGTAGTTCTGGAACACCTGAAAACATGCATATATGTACTTCATTTTTATTTCAGACAAAAAAACCGATTGTCAAGTGATAAAAATTACATAAGACAATAATGTTTGCATGTTAATCTACTTTGGGTACTACTTGGGTTACTACTACTAAATTATAATTTGCGTAATTACTAGTGGTACCCCGTCTTGTGAGTGCGCATGGGTAGGTACCACCCCCCTGCCTATTTATGCCGTGAAGCAGCAATGCATTTCGGTTTGAAGGGTGAGGTAGCCATTGTACTGTAAAAACTTCTAAGAACTCATATCTCAAGGTAGGGGGCGGCATTTACGTTGTAGATATCTATGGACTCCGGTAACCACTTAACACCAGGTGGATCATGAGCTCGACCATCCAGTAAGTAATTTTTCTATATCTCATTTTATGGGGTTAATGAATTCGGCAATGGAGGCTTTGTTTCATATTACCTTCCATATCACATTCTGGATTAGAATCAGCAATTTGATTTTCAGAAGGGCTTTCCTTTTTTTCATCAGGAGTTGATGTTACAAACTTTGGTTTTCCTGAAATAAAACCAAAAACTACAAGTGTAACACATTGTCATTGTCATATTACATTATACATGTATTTATATCTAATTTATTTTTATGTGACTGGTTGCAATTAAGCACTTCAAGTTTTATTATATGTTCAATTAGATAGATTATTTACTTTTGGTCCATATTATGATCCCCTAAGATATTAAGTTACATTAAGATCCCTCACAATTATACTATTGGTGCCAAACTGCCTATGCTATACTAGCCCAATCATCTACCCTATTATAAAATTTTGCTAGACTAGTTATCTATCCCATTTGCAAAACTTTGCTTGGCTATATACCTTATTGCAAATATATTTAAGAAGCCACTATGTGCCTATAATATAATGTACATATTCCATTTTTAGAAAATGTGCTTTATTCGAATGACATACCTATTAATTTTGATTCATTTCATAGTAATGTATGTTACAATTTTTCAACATTGTGATTACACTTAATTCTACATATTTGTAATATTAGTGACATTACTGCACTTTTGAAATTATTATTTTTATTTCTTAATTAAATTGAAATTATTACTAATTATTTCACATATTTGATAAAGTTCTAAATGAGTATATCAAATAATGTTTTTTTAAATAAAATTATGAATATAAGAGTACTTACTAATAGTGGTTTTATTAAGAAATAAATTAATTTACAAATGATACCTACTAAACACATGTATTAATTATGAAAACCAAATAATTAATATGATTAGGTAAATAGTATTTATTTAGGGAAAGCTCCTCTATTGCTGACCAATCAATTCAAATTCTGATAGCATAATATAAGGTGGATAGGAATTTCATTCAAATTCTATTGCAGTGAAATTACAGCTATCCAAAAAATAACAATATGAATGCCTCCACTCACTATGAGACCTGAGGTTGAAGTATCAACTTTTTAGTATACCAGCTGTCCTCTCCTTCAAGCTGGAATGAATAACTGTATGACAGCAAAAATAGACAATATGATATACCCTCATAATACATACCAGTACCTGTCTGATGCAAAATCTATTTTTGTTACATAAATTGTTTTGGCCTCTATAGGCATATTGGCCCATATGTTGGCATGGTTACTTTTGCTCATGGATGTCAACAATGCCAGGGGGCACAGCCAAATCACTACCTACTACTGAATACTTTCTGCAAGCCTTGTTTGGAGAAGGACATATAGCATTGAGGAAATATAGTGCAGAACAGTTCATTCAAAAGCCAGATGTGTGTGGTAAAAAGTATCTCTAAAAAGGCACTATTAATTAATTAAAACAATTACAAAGCTTGGTACCTGCCCAACATTTTACCAATATTACAGTTACATCATGAAATCATTAAAAGAGTAGTATGTTTTTTATGAAAAAGACATGTTTTGATAATGAATTACACCCTTTTATATCTTTCAACATATCATTAGTTATTACTTAATGTATTACAAAAGATTTAACAAATTTTCTAAATTTTACCACTGTCCTCCCCGGGCATATTTTCATTGATTTTTATTGATGCATCTCCTCCACCATCCTCAGCTTTTATAAACAACTGACATTCATTCGTAATATCACGTTTAACTGAAGGTTTAGGCGGTGCGAATATTATTCCATCTGAGTTATCACGGGGCTTATGCTCGTCGTTTTGTAGGAGACGATCGGCAGCATCCATTTCTTCTACAATAAATTATAAGAATTGTGTAAATTTAAACTGACATACACTGTTAGGTAAAGCTGAGTACTTTAAATCGAGTCATTAGTTATTTTTTAACATAATCCTGTTTAAATGGATATGATTTAAACATATGGATAAAATGATCGAAGTGCCAACTCGAAACGTTTGTCGACTGAATATAAGCGTAAAGACCTAAGTAACGATTCCCGAATTCTTCTCTTTTTCGGAATTTTTTAAAGTATTTAATCGATTTAATCAGATTAATTTGTTTTACAATTATTACAGATGCGTTTAAACGAAGTAAACAAATCGAAAAATTCGGATTTAGGTACCTACCTATTTATGGACGAAATATCAATTGCTATTTGCTATTCTTGACAACTGACAACTGACAACTTTCGACAACTTTGATCACGATCAACTTTCCAGATTTTCCTTACTTTCACTTTAGGTGGGCTTACTGAATTTAGCCCCCTTTTTTTTTATTTCGGATTTTTTTTTTTTTAATTATTTGTTCGTCGTTGTTTCGTTAACGTTCGTATGTAAAAATTGTTTGTTCATCTTTTATTTATTTATAATTTATTAAACAAATGATCACCTTTAAGTTGCCCCTTCTTACTAGATATCTTTATTTTTATCGCTCAGATTAATTAATCTGAATTTAATCTGAAACTAATTAGTTTTGATCAATTATCGTTTGTTCGACGACTATTGGTAATTGTTCGATCATAAAAACAATTAAATTCCCAATTATTAATTATTTTATATCTAATAAGCAAACCATCACCTCACGCCTACATTGCGCATTGTTTTTATTGCCCTTGTAGGCAGACGAGCATAGGGCCCACCTGATGGTGAGTGGTTACCGTCGCCCATGGACTTCAGCAATGCTAGGGGCAGAGCCAAGCCGCTGCCTACCGACCAAGCTGATGCCTACCGGCATGCGCAGGTTTTGTCAGTCAGCTGGCAATGGCCGTATTTATTATAGACCAGGGTAGAAGCCTTTAAAAATAATAAAAATTGAAAAAAAAATAGTAGGATGAAACCCATTAGAAAAGGAGGACAATATTATAAAAATGGAAGGAAAATTTATTTACGGGCGATTTGAGGTCGGGAAGGGGATGGTGGGGGGGGGTTTACTAAATGTCCTATGGAAAAAAGTCAAATGGCAAAGTTGTAGGTAATAAAAAGATCTAAAACTTTTGTATTTACACTTTTTTCACATAACCTCAAAATTTATGTGAAAAATTCAAAAAACCAAGTTTTTGGTTTTTTTATGTTTCTTTTTCAAAGAAAAAATAATTTTTCACGAAATTTGGTGAAAACTTACCTTTTTATGTCCCAAATACGCTGCAATTTATTTGGTTAGAAATATTTATTTTTTCACCTTATTTTGAATTAATATCGAAAAAGCACCCTAATTTTCAATCGAAAATTCACCCGTCAAAATATCAGCTTTTTTCAAAAAGTTGGTATGTATTCTGTTCGTTGAAATCTCTACTTTCCGATGGTGAATATATATATATATATATATATATATATATGTTACTATAGTAAATCTTCTCAGAAAAAGCAAAAAATCGAAAAAACTCGAATTCGAATTATTTTTGCCCCTGACATTGCTAATTTCGATCATTGATGGTGACTACTTACCACCAGGTAAGTCATATGCTCGTCTGTCTACAAAAGTAATAAAAAAATGTCATTCATATTAAATCACTTGGGAAACACTTACTAAATAAATATCACTCGCTGCAGTCTCAGAAACGCGGTTAAAGCCTGTAAAATATTTTAAAATATCCCGGGATGCATTGGTCTTGGAGATTAAAGTAGGTATGGGTTTGTGGAACTGCAATTTTAGTGAAAAATATTGTTATTAAAAAAAGTACCAATCCAATTAAAATGTAATCAATATATCTTTTTTTTAACTCTCAATAGAACAATGTCCATGAACAATTTTACACTCTCTACTAAAATTAATCAATACCCATATGGTTCTAGCGGGTGATTTTAATTCCCAGAAATAGTTGTGAGGTTCTCGTTATGTATTTCACGCACAGTACTTTGTATGTCCATGTCTGTGATTATCATATCAATTTTGAATACGATACGTACGTAGTTGCGCTTTTTTTCGCTGAAATAGCCTCTCAAGTCTCAAGGCTATCAGCTTAGGTAGGAAAAAAAAAGCGCTTTTTATGTAGTCTATGGATATTTCTTTACTCTCTGGCTGTGGAATTCAGGAAAATTTCAATTTATTTTTGAAAATAAAAGTAAATAAGAACATTAACAAAATGAGCGCTTGGAGGCAAGCTGGTTTAACGTAAGCAAATATATATATAGTAACTGATTATAATTACAGAGAAATAAAACTTTCTAGGTTACTTTTTTCAGTTACATAAACTACTCAAACATCGCAGCCAAGGTGCTTCGCAGGTCACTAAAGCAAGAATTTCGAGCAGAGGCGTTGAAACGTGACGAATCTCACGTCAGAGTCACACCTTGGGCCAACGGACGACCTGCACGTAAGCTATTTTTCGAAACTACTTGAAACGGTTTTAAAGTATACTTAGAATTTACAATAGGCAGTTAAAGTTCCCGTATTAATTGATAAATTTCTCAATGTCAATATCAGGGTTTACAACATTTTAAATTTAGACATGTAAAATATTTACATACAATTATTTTGTTAGTCTAGCCCAATTTATTTTATTTCAATTTATATGTGATTTTCAGATGAAAAGGACTAAGTCAGAGGTGTAAGTTAGGTCAAAATCAGTCTTAACCATTAATGTGTTATTAGTATTAGTTCTACTAATAATTCTAAACTAAAATGCTTATCTTAGTTTAATTTTAGAATTTATTAAGTTTGTAAAGCGAGTGTGTCCTTTATTAACAATTATATAAACTAATTACTTGAAAATGGATTGAAACTAAAATTTCCTTTTTGAATTTAGTTTGGCGTGTGCGTCCCTATAGTAAATTAACAAAAATATTTTAAACTGTTAGTAAATCAATTATTAATCACTTTACAGACCTCCAGAAAGCTGTTCCAAAGTGAAGAAGGAATAGTTAACCAACATGCATGAAAATCATCAACTATTAATTTATGTAGAATTGTACAATAAATAACGCTGTTTAAAATAAAGCATTTTATTTACACAAATCTCATGAATCAAAACAAATTTCTCTCAATGGAAATAATTGACTTGGAAACAGACAAATGATGCAACCATTAAGTTATAGCTGTTATTCAATAATTTAGTTGTAGTAGTTGTTAATTACATCTGTTTTTTTTTTTATTGCCTTTGTATACAGCCCACCTGATGCAGCATGGTTACCTTCACTCATGGACATCAGCAATGTCAAGGGCAGTCCAGCCACTGCATGAGAGCTAAATATATATTTTGTATATTCTAGGTTTTAGAGGCAGGTTGCGGGTACAAGGCAATCCAGATCCAGATATTGTATACTCATTATTATGTAGCAATAGATAGAGCCATTTCCAGTACAATTATATTAGTGTATATTTATGTGGTCAGTCACCTGACCCTAAACTTGCATTTCTTACTATGGGAATCAGGATGGGAAACTTATAAATATTTAATATAGTACATATATTTTAATAAAACTGATATAAAATAAACATGACAATTTGTGAGGTCAAACTATCTGCAGACTGAATAAAAGGCTAAGATATGGTTATTACTTAATTTTATTACTTTAAAATAAATATCTAGAATGTCATAACAAGTTTGTTAATTTTGTCACTTTTACTGGTATATTAGCACATTTTACTTCATGTATTAAACTCTTTCCTAAAGGTGCAATAGGATCTATTTCACTAAGTGGTAAGTCATATTGAATTTGATATGATTTCTTAAGTTTTTCTACACCATTCCATGCTATCATTATCCCATTATCAGTACAAACTTTAGGTGGAGGTCTATAACAGCTATAACCAGATTTACCAGCAACAAATTGCATTGATTTAAATATAAAATCATTACAAGCAACACCACCTGAAACTACTATATTTTTATTATTAGGATTGATTAAGTTCTTTTCCTCACAGAAGATAATTGCTCTCTCTAGTCTATGCCCCAAGTGTTCAGCTAAGGCAATTTGAAATGAAGCACATAAATCATTATATTCTGGTATCAAACAATCCCCAGTAATACCATGTTCTTTTTCCTTTTTTATTAATTTTCTAACAAGTGAATCTTTAAGACCACTAAAACTAAAATTACAGTCTCTATTTCTATTTAAAGGCAAAGGAAATTGGAATTGTTGAGAATTGTTAGCTTTCTTAGCAGCCTCCTCTACTGCTTTGCCTCCAGCCAATTGAGAATACTCTTTAATATTTTTTAGTTTCATTCTTCTGGCAACTTTGTCTAGAATCTCTCCTGGGGCATTGTCCAACGATTCTCCAAGAAGAAAAAATTGATTTACATCCTGAACAAGACACAAAAGACAATGTCCTCCAGATATAAGTAAAACTATAAATGGAAATGGCAAGTTGTGATAAATCCTAGCTACTAAAGCATGAGCTTCCATGTGATGGACCGGAATAATAGGTTTATTGTACTCCATACATATATATTTTGCATACTGAACTCCAACTTGGAGACTGAGTAATAATCCAGGTTTAACAGTAACAGCAACAGCATCAATATCTTTTATTTTAATCTTTGCTGTGGAAAGTGCTTCAGTTACAGCTGTTTCTATGTGTTCTCGGTGAAGTTCATGAGCTATGAAAGGATTTACTCCTCCATATCTTACATGTATTGCATTCTGTGAATAAAGAGACTCTCCAAGAACATTGCCAGCTCCATCAATAACAGCACAACCTGTATCATCACAAGAGGTTTCAATTCCGAGAATTGTAAAATCATTTGAACATGATGTAGTTTTCCAACGATTTTGACGAAGGATACGCAATAATCTTGAGTTTCTGTGTGTCATGAACATTCTAAAGCACTTTTAATTGTGAATGCATCAGTATATTTATTCTTGATTTTTTGGACTAATCTTATTTTGATTACATACATATTTGATAAAAAGGCCAGATTTTCCTTTATGGTCCATCGATTTGGAGGTTAAATTTTTTTTAGATAGTACTCGTAAATAGAAAGCTTTTTGCCAAATTTCAAGTTACGGAAACTCAGGGTTTACGCGATATAATTTTTTAAAGTTTCATTAAAAATAAATCATAATTTGGAAAAAACTTCAAGGTAGACGTCAAAGTTGACGTTTCAGTTCCATTCACGGTAGAGAGTAGAGAGTAGAGGTGAATAAATAAAAATATGTATTTTTAATAACATACCTAAATACATTTTATTATTTTAATATATTCTTAAATTATATTTGGTGCAATTAGGGTGTACACTGTACAGTAACTGTATTATGTAATTATAGAGAGGGAGAGTGTTCTTTATTATAAATTTACATAAAATAGACAATGCGAGCAAATAAATTGACTTTTTTACACAACAAACGAATTTTGGTTTTCACTGTGGAACGGAGCGTGAAATGACGCAATTTTTAGCATCTTTAAATCTGTCTCTAATAAAAAACCTCTATAAATTGGATAAAATGTAACAATAATAAAATTACTCTTGTTTTATATATATTATAATAAAATTATCAATATCCAAAAAATGTCGAAAACCGAATCAGAGCCCATAGTCCCAGAGTCCATACAAGAAGCTCTGCTATTTATTCTTATAGATAGAGAATTTCAACGCCTTACTGTATGATCTATATTCCCGTTGTCTATTCGAGTGGGCAAGCAGACAAAAAAAAAAGATTTTCATTTTAATTGTGTTTAATTATGAGTTAGGTGTCAGTTCGGTTTTCCGGTCTAAATTCAGAATTTCATTTGAATAATTAGTCAAATACATCGACAATTGGAAATCCTTGGCTTACGGTCCTAGGATACGAGGTAATTTCAATATTCTATTGCAAAAACTTTTTCGACAATCCCATTCTAAAATTTAGGACAAGATAATATATGTTTCTAAAAACGCAATGCAACTTGTATTCAGTTTTTCCGAAACTTTTACAGTTAATGGTAAAATAGTTAACAGGTTTTAATATAATTGGAAATTGGAAATTTTATGAAAAGTAAATGAAATATATTAAAAAAAAAAAAACAAAGGTTGGAAACACGTATTGTACTCATAAACATGCTAATAATGATGTTGTGTTTATTACATAAAAGTAAACTGTTGAGAAAACTTTACGCAACTAATTGCTGTTAATCTAAACTGTTTTTGGCAAGGCACTTCTTATCACACATGTCATAATGGTTCATTAACTAATAAGGAAGGTTAATGATTTAGATTTTCAAGTGTACAGTTCAATGCGTACAACAAATTAATGTGAACATTTGTGAAAGTCTTCTATAAATTCACTAAATCTAAGATAAGATAATGAGTAAATGTTACAACTTTTTTCAGATTTAGCCAATTTTCAAAGTTTGATACCTGTCGGGTACTGTTAATATGGATTCTCTGTGTGATACTGTTTTTAAATTTGAAAGAACACCAGAGTTTATTTTATAAAAGGGACAAGTTTAATTGCAGGAATTGTATTTATTGGCATGAGTAATAATAAACCTTCTTATCTTGAGCTCTTCTTATAATTGTCAATTTTTTATAAAATGTTAATGTTCAGTGTATCTACTGGGATATAAAATTTTAAACCCAGAGTAGCATATTTGTCACAATAATAAGTTGATGTAAATGAAAAAAATAGTTTAATAAATGTTATTGTGATGTAACATCTTCAACCATTTGTGGTCCTAAAACTGTATAACACTAAACTAAATGTCCAATACATGTGGACTCTGCTATCAAAGTGTTCATGTTCAATGATATTATGTTTAGGTAAATTATCATGAGCCAAGTGCTGATAAAGTGATATTTAAAAAAAAATAACATTCATAAAGGTTAACTTCAATTTTGTCTAGTAAGATTACCATTACTAGCCAGCTGTGTATTTGTTGTGACCATTTACATTTACTATTTATGCAGTGCCCCATGGGAATCATTAATGCAGCCTAAAATAACTTGTTAAGCTGAGTAATATATACACATATTTAAGTAAGTAAATATTTCAAAAAAATATAACTCAAAAGGAAGGCAGCTAGTGGAAAAACATGCCCTGCACCTGTATCAGTTTATTTTTTATATCTGTTAATTTTTATGTGTCAATAATTTAAATGTCTAAAAATATTTTGTATTGTTTCATGTCATGGGTATTTTGGGGTGTTTTTATTGCCTAAGAAAGCAGACAATAACTCGTTAACCAATGAAAGTATTGATTACAAGATACTGACACATATATGAAAAGATCAACTTAAACCCAGATCTTAGATCTGGAAAATTGTCTGCATAAGTCAATATCATAGGCATAGAGAAAATAACTGCCCCCTAACTCATTAACAAATAACAAATCACATCCTTCTCAGGCCTCCCTTATGTAAATTAGCCTTTTTTACAATAATAAATTGAAGCTAACTCTGAATATATGGATACATTTGAGTAACTGATATACGAATAAGTACACATTAAAATTAAACAGACCTAATTAATATTCCTACAGAGCTACAGAACATTTAAATAAAGTAATATCAATCTATATAAAGATTATGGATGAACAAACAATGACATTAGTCATTATTTGTGTGCTGGTTCACTAGCCGAGAGGCCATCCATCGTTTGACGTACAGCACGGACAGAAGGAGGGGAGATATGTTGTCCGCACAAAACATGTCAGTCGTCACCTTGGTTTGTTGAGCGAAACGGGGTTTTTTAGTCGATTCAAACCATATGCGACTCACCATCACCTAACGCGTTGACGGAAGTATTTTTTATCGCTTCTGTGGGCAGGTTAGCGTCGCTCATAGACGTCAACAATCAGCGGCACAACCAAACCGAAGAATTGAATCTCCTCCCGAATTAGACGTAGGAATTTTGCACCCCGATCACCCTCTTCGGTCAATCAATACCCGCGTGGTAGGGGTCAAGTACATCCATCCATTAAGTCATCCTTGATACACTCTTGACATTCCGACCACACAAAGTCCGTCCGCCACTGCATTGCGTTTACCCTTTATATACTTTAAATACTACAAAACTTGCAAACGAAACATAATGAATGCCAATGCCATTTTCCTACATGCCGCCTGCACCCACAGACCCTTCAATTCCTTAAATCTCGTTTTTGCGGAATAGCCGTTGCAGCGCCGTGGTTCGTGAGCAACGTTGATTTTCACGACAAACGGCCATGAATCCATCAGAAAATACCCGAAGTCAGCGTCGGAAAGGTACTTCGATAAAGCCAAGCGTCAAGAAAACCGCCTTATCGTGACCGCCGCTGACTATCCCAGGACTCCGTCTCACACACGAGCCAGTTACCGGTGACGCCCCAGACATATCCTTATAGATCCATCCCATCGAGTAACGTTGTTGTTAGACGCCTACAGTTCTAGCATTAGAAGCAGGCTAAAGACCGTGGTATCGTACTCGTTGAACTCATCGAAGAGTTGCAGGTGAATCCTAATCCATACGTCAGCTCATTAAGTTTCTCGCAGTATCTTTTCAGCGGGTCGCGATTCCGATCTGGTAGTATAAATGCATTCGCTAACAGCTTTTAAGCAAATTTCACCTCTCCAGGCTGATACCACTGACGTCCACTTGTTCTGGTCAAACTGGAAAAGCCTCCGGGCACTAATAGTCATTCCATAAAAAAAAAAGAGTAATTTTCGATTTAAAATTTTAATTATATAAAATATCCTCAATCTTAGATTTAGGAAATCTCTCTCTCTCTCTCTCTCTCTCTTCCCAGCTATTTATCCCACATGGTGGTAGGTTCAGCTTTCCTGACTTTACTCCTCCACTTCGCTCTGTCTTCGACATCTTCGTCAGCAAGATTGCATTCTCTCTTGTCTTTCAGCACTACGTCCCTCCACCTTGTCTTGGGTCTACCTCTAGGTCTCCGACCGGGGAGGTCGAGCAGTAGTGCCAAATTTCCGACGTAGTCAGGCGGCTTCCTTTTCACGTGACCATACCATCTCAGCCTACTCTCCTGCACCTTGTCGGCGATGTCCCGTACACCTAGACTTCCACGCACGTACTCGTTGCGGATTTTATCGAGCCTAGTCACGCCGCACATCCACCTCAGCATTTTCATTTCAGCAACTTGAATGGTATGCACGTTCCTTTTGGTTGCCGCCCATGTTTCGCTGCCATACATAAGAACAGGCCTTATTATGGTCTTATAGATCATACCCTTGAGCTTAACGGGCATCCTCCTATCGCAGGTGACACCACTTACTTCTCGTCATGTTTTTTGATAATAAAGGTTTTCATCTTTTTTAGGATTCATGACTGCCAGTGTAAATTACGAAAAGAAGCAAAATGATAAATCTGAAGATGTTAAAGCAATCGACGATCGTGCATCTGTGTTTCGCTATTTCGTATTTCACATCTGGATTGCTGTTGAACTTTGTACAGGCGATTTTATACTTTGGACTTAAACCGTTCAACAAAAAATTGTATAGGCAAATAAATTATTATCTTTCATATTCATTTTACAGTCGTGAGTGTTTTGTAAATTTTGTTATTGAATTCTTATTGTTTTCTATTGTGTTTTATAAATTGATTTTCATATTTTCAGAATTAGTATTCATGTCAGAATGGTGGGCTGGGTCCACCATGTCGTTATATGTAAAAAAAGATGAATACGAAAAGTTTTATGGAAAAGAACATGGATATTTAATTATGAACCACAGTTATGAAATAGATTGGTTGATGGGATGGCAATTCTGTGATGGAATCGGCGTTCTAGGCGTAAGCTATTATTTATTTTAATATTTAAGTAATTATTTGGTTGTTTCATAAAATAGTTTTACTTCTACGTAAAATCCTTGCTTACAATTTATTGTGTCTAGTCAAATCTTCATAGTCCACTAGAAATATTGAAGATAATATTAATGATAATATTAAATCGAAGCTAAAACTTTAATAAAATTACCCTTTTTGTTAGTGTTCAAGTTCTAAATATTTTTCTATGATAAGATATCGATATCTTCTATATATTTTATATAATACATATATATATCTCTTCTATATAATATGAGTGCAAAATTTCTAATTTAATATACATCAATATGTTACTTTTCAGTTTAGTATACACGCTTGTTACTTGTAATTTACTGGGTAAATAAATCTTGGAAAACAATTTTAACATGCTTCGCTTCGCTTCGGTAATTTAATATTACAATTTAAAAAAATCCGAGTATAAAAATCAAGTATGTGTAATCCAGATGACGATACAATAATAAATATAGTATTGTTAATCTGATGATGAGTGCCGATGGCGTTTAACGGACCCTTTGCGGTTACTAGTAAAGAAATGGACATTACATTTCTAGATTTTTATGCATATTCACGAAACTGTCCTATCCCAATATTTGACATTTAATAATCTAAAAATAAATAATAGTTTAAAAAAACTAACAAAATACGCTTTTATAGAAACTCCAACTAAAAAATAAAAAATAAATTTTGATAAATTTTAATTAAAAATAGTGTAAGAAAAAATGATTTCATTGTAAAAAAGCATGGGGAGGTTTTCAGGATATTATCAAAGTAACCCTTCTACTCATATCTGTTCATAAAATATCTATAACTATTGACATCATGCATCGGTCCTTAATAAGTATACCAAATTTCGAGTTAATCCGACGTTTTGAAGGGGGTCAAAATCATGTTCATAGATTCCGTTACAAACATACATACTAACATACATACGTCTGAAGCTAATAAAAGCGTATTAATATGTAACTTCGATCTCGTGCAACTTATTAATCAATGTCATTTATCCTATCCCTACTATCTATGGCCGTGATACGACAAATCAGTAATCACTGATAATTAATTTGACCGCTAAATAATATAATATTGTGGCATTAGTATGTACCTTAACGTCAAAGTAAATAAGATTATCGTTTCTTATAGCTCAATAATTTAAGAAAATGACACGTTAACGTACATATCAAGTTACTTTGAGTCACTTCAATAAAAATGAAAGTAAACATATTTAATATTAGCGACCCGCCCTCGCTTCGCTTCGGAAACATTACATTTTATTATTAATAGGTAGCTGAGTCTCGCGACGTTACCCGCGGTTGGTGTCGTACCCCGAATGACGCCGCGGGGCAAAGCTAGTCTATAAAAAGTAGCCTACGTTACTCCTTATATCATCAGCTACGTATCAGTGAGTCTCGTCAAAATCGGTCCAGCCGTTCCAGAGATTAGCTGGAACAAACAGACAGACAGACAAACATTGTAAAAAATGTTATTTTGGTGTATGTACCGTATATATATATTTATATGCATGTAGAAAAAGCGGTTATTTCAATATTACAAACAGACACTCCAATTTTATTTATATGTATGGATAATATAGCTGAGTATCAAGACGATACTTGCATTTGTGTCCGCAAGTGTTTGTACTTGTATATGTGTATTTTTACAAGATATGACATGCGTCATTCTTACGTCGAAAACGAAAGGTCGTCGAGCTTAAAGCGCTTTATTCACGATCCATCTTGCTGTACGTCCCGCCAAGGCCATGCACGATGCACGATGCAAAAGTACCATGAATAGGCTTGACGTACGTCGATAATTATTATTAATTGTTTGCTGGATTTGCACGACCAATTTTGCATTCAGCGATCGCCCCCACCACCGCGAACGTCGTGCAGATAGACAGTGAATAACGCGGACGTACGTCAGAGTGGTCCTGCGTCGTGCATCCTTGATCGTGTATAGACTTGCTGTACAGCAGATTTAACATTTGGAGCTTGTTTCGAGAGGAGACTGCACGTCAAAATCGTGAAACACTTTCAAGATTTATTGAAAGATATAAGTTCCACATGTTTGTGGAATGTCTCAAGGGCAGACTATATGAATAAACAAAAAATAATAAACGTATTACAATTTTTTTAACCCCATTTTAGGGAAAGCTGCAAGGATTGATAGCGTGCGTAAAAAATGTTATCAATTATTTGAGTATACCCAGCACGTTTAAAAAAATCATCCAACACCTCTTGCTATTTTTTGCCTCTCGTCTGCTCCTGCTGACAACATCAGAAGGACTCCCATTTTTGACGTTTTGATAAAACAGCTGGCATTTTAAATAAATTAAAACCCTCTCATTTAATTCGTTCAATTTATTCTGTTCGCGCTTGATACATCCAGCACCGCGGCCTTGAGCTGACGTACAGCCGTGATGGATCGTGAATAAAGCGCTTTATTCTCTCCACGCTTGATGCGCGCACGATAGTCTGTATGCTGCATCCAGCACCGCGGCCTTGAGCTGACGTACAGCCGTGATAGATCGTGAATAAAGCGCTTAAGCCAATATTAAAATTCTCTATTAAATGCTGATTGACTTTTTGTTTCGTAAACTATTGGTTACGCAATTTAAATCTTCAATTTATTTAGCACTTTGTATTGTTAATCTATACATATAAATAAAATTGGAGTGTCTGTTTGTAAAATTGAAATAACCGCTTTTTACTACATGCATATTTAAAAAAAACAAAAAACATTTTTTACAATTTTTGTCTGTCTGTCTGTCTGTTTGTTCCGGCTAATCTCTGGAGGGGCTGGACCGATTTTGTAGAGACTTTCACTGATAGGTAGCTGATGATATAAGGAGTAACTTACGCGAAGACTAGCTTTGCCCCGCGGCCTTACCTGCCGTACTACAACAACCGCGGGTAACATCGCGGGACTCACCTAGTTTTAAATAAACTTAAATTAAATCCTGTAGTAAAAAAAATCCTAAGGCTGTTGGTTTTCTTTAAAGATGATAGACGGGTTTATGTCCTATTGGTCCTATGGGATACTAAGCGGTTTCCCTTGTAGAAAACCGACATTGGCCATGAGATGGAAGCCTCAGTTGCATTGCGTAACAACAAACTGAAGTGTGATTTATGTGATTACGCATGAGGTGATTCAAAGTAGAAACAGAGATGTAACTAACCTAACTAATGGACTAATTGATTATATTGTTCCGTTTCTTATCGAATGATAAATAAGTTAATATCATTTGATCCAGATGCGAGAGTGCGTGATTATTTCAACACGTTTTTATTAGTTCGGCCTGTATCTATGTAATTAAATATTTCAATGTTATTTACACTTACTTCGAATTTCATTTGAAAATTCACATTTGTTCATACTAAATGACAATAAAACCATTCGTTTACTTTGACGTAATATTCTGACTTTGATCGCCAGGATAAAAAAAAGGATTATTTAAATTTTGCACATCAAGCACATAAATAGGGCGTCTAAATTTTATATTTTTTGCCGTCATACAAAAGTTCTTACCGATGAAATTTACTGCTTCACGGTAGAAATAGACAGGGCGGTGGTACCTACGGTCACACAAGACGTCATACCACCAGTAATTACGCAAATTATAATTTTGCTATGCGATGCTAGTATTTAATTGGTGGTATATATGTACTTATATTATATTACTAGCGGCCCGCTCCGGCACCGCTCGGGTCAACAAAGGTTTCATTGATATTTTACGTTGTTTTATTTTTTAAATAAAAGAACACTTATTGCGGCATAACTATAATAGTTAGACATATGCTGTCCTGACACTTTTTGTAAATAATAATGTATTTTACAAAGTCGTAGTACATTATTTTATTCTATCATCAATAGTTTTCGTAGGGCACGCGATATAAAGAAAATTTTAGGTAATTTTTTTACACCATGGGTTACATTATTGGAGTTTTAATAAAGATCCCAAATTTTTTTCAAAAAAGATTATAGCATATGTCACTTGGGAATAGTGTAGCTTCCAAACAGTGAAAGAATTTTTCAAATCGGTTCAGTAGTTTCGGAGCCTATTCAATACAAACAAACAAACAAACAAATCTTTCCTCTTTATAATATTAATTATAGATTTTCACAGAGAAAAATAAATCTACAGACTTCGTTCTAAATATAGAACTTAACATTAAATTTATTTTTCATTTACCTCACAGTAATAAAAAACAATTGGATGTGTAAGGAAGGAGAATGTAACAACAAACAGCTACTTATTGAAATAAAATAAGGAATTTTCCATTTGTTTTGTTTCTAGAACTGTAAAGCTTATGCTAAGAAATCAATCCAGTATCTGCCCCCGATTGGCTGGATGTGGAAATTTTCAGAATTCGTATTTCTAGAAAGATCTTTTGAAAAAGATAAGGAAATTATCAAGAAGCAAATATCTGAACTTTGCGACTATCCGGATCCTGTTTGGGTGAGTCATTGACCTATCGTTTATTGACGATATCATGCCATTAGAACGTAACACGTTATCTGAATTCATTTGCTACGTATAATGAGATTTATGTGTGTTATCAGCGTGCCACTGATAAAGGTGTTGTTGCTAATTGCACATTTTTGCGTGTAAGCACGACTGCGCTTGCTGATGACCACGCTTGATAACGTGCAATGATAAAATTGCATTCGATGCTATAATGAAACATGATTAAATTAATAAATAAATGTTCCACAATCAATGGTCCATTGAAGGACATTGTGACGAGATGAGACGTCGGTTAAAACTGCAGTGATTTTATCGAAACGCATGGTTCATCAAGAGTTCTCAGTCGGATTTAATAAGCTATAAAACACTTTTTTTTTAACCTACCTATGCTGATAGCCTTGAGAGGATATGTATTTATTTATTTTTTATTGCTTAGATGGGTGGACGAATTCACCCCCCACCTGGTGTTAAGTGGTTACTGGAGCCCATAGAAATTTACAACGCAAATGTGCCACCCACCTTGGTATATAAGTTCTAAGGTCTCAGTATAGTTACAACGACTGCCCCGCTTTTAAAGCTGAAACGCATTACTGCTTCACGGCAGAAATAGGCGGGGTGGTGGTACCTACCCGTGCGGACTCACATAAGGTCCTAACCACCAGTAATTACGCAAATTATAATTTTGCGGGTTTGATTTTTATTACACGATGTTATTCCTTCACCGTGGAAGTCAATCGTGAACAATTGTTAAGTACGTATTTCATTAGAAAAATTGGTACCCGCCTGCGGGATTCGAACACCGTTACGTCGCTAGATACGAATGCACCGGACATCCTTTAGGCTGCGACGACTTCAAATTTACCTTAGCGTGTAGGTGAGCTCTCGGGGCTCAAACCGCAAGTGTTGCTAACACCGGCCCTAGCAAGAGTAGTGCTTCGCAGAATCTACCGCCGGAACGGAAACACGACCCACTGGGAAGATCCGGCGAGAAACTCAGTGGGCTGTGTCTATGGGTTAATTTACTCGTCTAGCCTTTCGTCGCAAACGACGGGTTCGACGAGGACTGTGACCGGATAAAACACTATTGACGCTCTCTAATTTCAATATTCGCACCACTATAAACCCCAATACGTTTCCGCACTTACATTTCGCCTCGAATATACTTTATCGCTTCGATGTTTAAACTTGAACTTTGCCCCTGGCGGAACAGTATATACACTTTCCGACTCTAGTCACGAGACTACTCACTATCAATATTTTCACGTGTAACAATAATGATATCTTTAACGATACAGAGTTCGATAGGGAATCACGGAACCAAGCCAGGTCTCCGTGGTATATCGAGTAGTCTGTCCCTAATGAACACACGAATTAGGTGATCAATCATTATTTTTATGGTGTATTTGAATATACGCGTTGACAGAATATTCTTGCATGTGTGTGTTGAGGCATCAGGTGGAAACTTTATTTATTTTGTGTGATGCCTATCTCAATCTGCAGCTTGTGATATATTAAATTTACAAGATTCCTATTTATTTCACAACATTGCTTCTTTATAGCGTCATTTATTCGTTTTTAATCGTTTCCCATAGAACCATGGCATTAACATCCGACATCAATACACCTATCACATTTTAACATTTAAGCAATCAATCAAATGTAATCAAATCTTAGTTATATAAATGTAAATAAATGTAAATAGTTTTTTTTAATTTTTATTGTTAATGCACTGTCGATTGCACCTATAATTGAGGTGACATCTGCCATGAACTTTTGTCAATTTTTTAATGTTTTGTATTCATGATCACTTTGTTGGTGCAACGTAATAAATAAATAAATGATATAATTATACTCTTATACTATTTTTTCATGTCTTCCTCAGCTATTACTGACACCCGAAGGTACAAGATATACGAAAACGAAACACGAAGCGTCTGTTAATTTCGCGAAGGAGAAAAATTTGCCGATTCTCAAGCACCACCTAACACCGCGCACTAGAGGCTTCACGACCAGCCTTCAGTTCTTCAGAGGGAAGATACCGGCTATTTATAATATTCAATTAGCTTTCGAAAAAGAGAGTAAGGTAAGTAAATAAAGTCATAGGCTAAACGAAAACAGAAAATGTTGGCTAAATATAACTCGACTGATTCGGTGGTGCAATAGTAACTAGCTAGCGCCCCTGAAGTAGTAGTTGCGTCGAGGGTCGTGGATTCGATTCCCACATTGGGCAAACATTCGTGTGATGAACAGGTTTGTTTGCTCTTTATCTGGGTGTTTATCACTACATAGTATAAAACAAAGTCGCTTTCTCTGTCCCTATACCTCTGTGTATGCTTAAATCTTTAAAACTACGCAACGGATTTTGATGCGGTTTTTTTAATAGATAGAGTGATTGAAGAGGAAGGTTTATATTATGTATAATAACTTTATGTATAATCCATTAAATAGTGGAGAAATCAATAATAAATTACAGTTTCCGAAGCGAAGCGAGCGCGGGTCGCTAGTTATCTATACATTTAAACGTATATAAGCATCTGTGTCAGGGTCTGGTACCCATTTATTTATTAAATGTATAATACAGTACATACATGTTGAAGTCATTTTAGCCTAACGACCAAAACGCACGGTGCATTCGCATACGAATACATACACCTGCATACACCTGCGGGATTCGAACATCGCTTAGATGTTCGAATCCCGCAGGCATTTACCAATTTTTCTAATGAAATACATACTCATCACATGTTTACTATGCGTTTGGCTTTGAAGAGTGATGCAGCTGTTGTATTATAAAAACTGAGATTTAGAACTCATATCTCAAAGTGGGTGGCGGCATTTACGTTGTAGATGTCTATGGACTCCGGTAACCACTAATCTAAGCCGAAAAAAAGCATAGCTAAAGTGTATACTGTACACCTATTTGCTATGTGTTTTTTTTTATAGTAGTGGTGTAGTATAAAAATGATTTTTTTTTGTGATTTTTCTCTACTTCGAGGTTGAAAAACATTCTGGTTATAAAGGACATGGGCCACTCTCCATACATTGCACGGCCCACTAAACGAAGTTCAAGGACAGTAATGAAATTAAGTATATATAACAGACTATATTTCCCTTTTATTATAAACAAATTAAAATCAATATTGTTCATGGGGATACAGAGATATTTAAAAAATAACAAAAGAATTTTAGGTTATATCATACGATTTTGCTGTCAATACACTGACACTTTAACATCATCATCAGTTTATATATCTATATCTATACTAATATTATAAAGAGGAAAGATTTGTTTGTTTGTTTGTTTCGAATAGGCTCCGAAACTACTGGACCGATTTTAAAAATTATTTTTCCATTAGAAGCCGACATTGTCCCTGATGAACATAGGCTACTTTTTTTATTTTATTTTTTGGTTTCATGTGTGTTTTAATGTTTCCGAAGCGAAGCGAGGGCGGGTCGCTAGTTATTTATATTACTATACTTTGTATTACAACAAAATATAATAAGCAGCTATATCGCAACGAAACACTTAATAATATCCACAATGCGCACGAGTGCGAAAACGACTGATCAAATGTAAAACTTCAATAAACATTAAACAACCGTAGTTTTTTTTTGCTTAAGATCAATATATATTCATCCATGTAATGATTTATTCTACGGATTTAAAAGTATAAAAATAGTATTTTGTTTAGATATAATCTTTTATATTAATTTTAAAATTCATTAATTAAATATGTTAATATATTTTGCTATTTTTTTTTTTTTTTGTTGCTTAGATGGGTGGACGAGCTCACAGACCACCTGGTGTTAAGTGGTTACTGGAGCCCATAGACATCTACAACGTAAATGCGCCACCCACCTCGAGATATAAGTTCTAAGGTCTCAGTATACTTACAACGGCTGCCCCACCCTTCGAACCGAAACGCATTACTGCTTCACGGCGGAAATAGGCGGGGTGGTGGTACCTACCCGTGCGGACTCCCAAGAGGTCCTACCACCAGTGATTACGCAAATTATAATTTTGCGGGTTTGATTTTTATTACACCATGTTATTCCTTCACCGTGGAAGTCAATCGTGAACATTAAAATTTGTTGAGTACGTATTTCATTAGAAAAATTGGTACCCGCCTGCGGGATTCGAACACCGGTGCATCGCTACATACGAATGCACCGGACGTCTTATCCTTTAGGCCACGTCGACTTCAATATAATGCTTTTTTGCAATATAATGCTTTTTTTAAGAAGATTTAATGTGAATTGTTTAAAATATAAATATATTTTACCTTTGGCAACTCCTTCAATATTATCAATGTAGCTTAGTCATGGTAATTTCTTTTTATTTATGATTATAATTATCCCACCTTTAAAATCTATAATAAGTATGTAGAAATGAAATGTTTTTTTCTATAGATATTTCATTAATGTCCTTGAGAGCACGACTAGCTGGGCCGAAAATGGCCCATGTCCTTTAAAACGAGAATTTTATTTTAGTGCTTCGCAAGTGGTGTGGTGGCTTCTAGCTGAATTATTAAAATTTAAATTACACGACTGAAGTTTTGCAAAAAAAAAAGTTTATGTACCTACCTACCTAACATTGTTCTTTGTATATGATATATTTATTATGATTGATTTACTATTTTCAGACTCCGCCAACACTGACAAGTTTATTATACGGGAAGCCAGTACACGCACACATGTACATTGAGCGGATACCGGTTGAGAATATACCGGAGGATGAAGCCGAAGCAACCAAGTGGATGCACGATCTTTTCGTCACAAAGGTATATTGAATTTCAACGAAAACAATTACATATGATCGTTTGTAATCTTAATCCATTTACAGTAAAACTAGTGAAACCCAGTCACGTTCCGCTAGCTAGTTGTATCAAAACATTGATTTCTTGAAACTACTCTAGCGCCACTTAGCTAGCTTTATGGTACTATGACCAAAACCATCTAGAGCGGTGTTTCCCAATGTGGGGCCCACGCCCCACAAGGGGCCAATTTGATAATTATGGGGGGCAATCGCACTAAATTAATATAGAAAATCTGTATTAAACTTATTTCGAATTTCAGTTTTTTATTATATGTTTTGAAATATTAATTACTGTACTTTGATAACAATTCCATAGTTATTTCTCCCTAAAGCCTATCATTTATGTTTCTTAAATGAACCAATCAATTTTTTTATGTTAAAAATTATGTATGGGGTGGATAAAAATTTTAGAAATGTTACAGTGAGTGGGGCATGGTACAAAAAAGGCTAGGAAACACTGCTCTAGAGTGCTAACAACTATGCAGTTTCATCAAAATCAGATGAATGGTTTAAGAACTCCAGACAAACGTGTATACAAACGTTCATTTTAGTACTAGTGTTCGCCCAATTATCAAAATTCTACAGAATAAATCAACACCACAAGATTTAGATTAATTTTATGGATTGCATAAAATTAAAATTAAAATCGGGTCAAAAACAAGAAGAAAAACGTGCTTAACTGTTTCGTATTAAAACTGCTTTTATGGTTTAATCTCCCGTTTATTTTGTCATTTTATAATTTCCGATGTTACGAATACTTTATACAGGCATCCGTAAAAAATCTGTTTTTTGAACAACTGTATACTTTTCTACTATGCTGATATCTTTATATTGACATATGTGTAAATCTATTATTTATTTATATAAAACACATGTTATATTATTAAAACAAAATAATTACACAGGATAAAATGCAAGACTCATTCTTGAATACTGGAGATTTCTTCTTACAATCTGGCGTGGAGAGAGTTGAGGCTTTCACGTCGCGTCCGCGGATATACTCACTGTTGAACACTCTCGGCTGGGTGGTGATCACACTAACTCCGATGCTGTACTATTTACTCGGTCTTCTGTTAAGCGGAAAGCTTTTGTATTTCTCAATTGGTTGCATCATATTTGCCGCATGTAAGTATTATTATGGACTACCGCTTATTATTATCAATAATCAATCTCCTACCAACATGGGCTGGTTCAGTACTATTTATGATTCCTTAAGCCTCTCTAAAAAAAACTATAATAGCATTTTGTAAAGTTCTAGTTAAATATTTTTTATTGGAAAACAATCTCATAGGCCTTTGATTTTAAGAGGTTACCGGAGCCCATAGAAAATATGTAGAATGACCCCAGACACAGGTTCTGTAACCTGTCCATTATGGTATATATAAAATGAAAGTAAAAAGCTAAATGAATATTAATATTTATTTTATGTTTTCAGTTTTCGTTCTCTTACAAAAATCTATTGGAATGTCAAAGATAAGCCAAGGATCTTCATACGGAACTGAAAAGAAATAACGCAATTAATATATTTTAATTAATTACATAGTAATATGTAAAACATCTAACAAAACTTTAAGTTAGTATATGTAGTTTATTAAATTTTGTTTTAATTTTTTTCTTTTTTCTGTGTAAGCAAAATAGAAAAATAATTGTTTTATTATAGTTGTGTGCAATTTATTGTTCGTTCAAAACGTTCAATGTGTGTTTTTAAATATGTAATGAAATCGATAGCTGAATCGAAACTAAATGTCGCCCATGATTTTTAACCGCACAAACTATGCAACTTGTCCCAAGATATACCTGGATAGTTTAAAAATGTGAATTTTTAGCTAATATACTGAAAACTGACTTTCATAAATGTATATAAAATGTTTTAGAATACTTTATTTTCTATAATGTTATTTTGATTATAGATATAGTTTCGAGAGACAGAACTACCGTACAGTACGAGCCGTGACGTTTTATATTTAGGGAATTATCTTTTTATATTGCGACTGTAATTTTGTAGAAGTTCATATTAAATTTTGAATTAATAGTTTTACGTATACAAGAGGCTACGGAGTATTATTTACTTTGTCAAATAACATACAGAATTGTAACGGTTTTTTTTATTGATTGGAGTTTACTTTTTAAGGATTGATTTAATTTAAAGCCCATTCTCCCAATCCTCCCATGACCAAATAAAAAGCATAATATTTTTCATTAAAGTAAAAAAAAAATATTATCCCATAGCTGAATGTCAAACTGTATATTTATAAGTATATTCAATAAGCCAAGCTCCATAAGATAGTAAAATTTCAACTTGTCGTTTCTATTTTATTGCATAGAGTTGGTGTACCAAAATTTTGACATAGATAGCAGTGATTTAATAAATTACCTAAATAATTGTTAATTTTAATATATTAGACTAGTATTTTCTTTTTATTATGTAAATCTTAGTTAAACACGTCAAATTAATTTCGTGGGCGCTGTCTAAGCAAAATATTTGGAAATTAAATATCCATTCTTACCATAGTAATATGCGTACCTGACAATAGATGGCGGCATTTTTTATGTATGTGTATTATTTATGTAAGATGATTTATGTATATTTTAACGAAACGATAAAAAATTAAAATAAATTAAATGCATGTTTTCAGTATTATTAGGAATACAATTATTTACCCTCTTCCTATTTTAGGCAATCACAATTGAAGAGTAAACTCCAGTCGCGTAAAGAAGCTGACACGCACATTTTTTTATTCGAATTTTTAGCCTAAGATTATATGTGATTACTATTATTATACTACTACTATACTAACTATTATTATAAAGAATTCATAATTAATTTGTCGGTAAGTACTATGATAGGTGAAGTACTATTTTTCACGGTTAAGAAATTTTTCGGATAAAAGAGAAAGCAAAAATATAAAACTCAAATTTAAACAATAAATTTTCCCTCTAGTAAAATTGATGCTGATAAAGTTACATTCACTACTATTTTAACAGCAACATTTTTGTGCCCAAAGTAAATATATAGTGTATCAGTACGGGTACGGGTCGAATCGAATATCGATCGTAGTATTCGATTAGTATTCAAACCAACAAAGCCGAACAGTTGGAATTTGACGACGTGTATTTTCGCGCTTCACGCACCGCATGATATAGAATAGTTATTTGTGCAACAAGAGAGCAAAATTGTTTTTTGTTTCGAGTGCTGATTTTGAGTCCTGAGCGTAGGGAGGGACTCAACAGCACGAGATGCAACAAACTTTGCTCTCTTGTTGCACACATAACTCACCTCAGAGGTGAGAACACATATTACTTAGGAGACATAGAAATGAACAGGAATACATTGAAATAACGTTTATTATTTAATATGATTTCTTTACATTTTAGGGTATTACGCGTTTCCGAACGTGTTTCCTTTGAGGTCGAATTCCAAAATCGAATTTCGAAGGGGTTTGTTTATTTCACTCGCTTTTTTATATGCATGTGAAAGAGACAAAGTTCAGTAAAATTCGAATGTTTTAAATTTATGGCTGAACAATGTCAATTCGTGGCACTGAAGATTAAAAAATTAAAAAGCTACTTTGACCCACGCTCTAATCGAAATCACGTTTTGTTCACTGTTGTCTCGCAACAAAAGCTGCATGTTTGAGCTGCTGAGGAGAAAAATGCAGTAAACAATGGTTCGGCAATATGTCACGTAATTCATGTCGGAGGTGGTCTAGAAAACCCAGAATGTATTTAGACGAAGCTTCAGCGCTGTGTTATCTGCAGATGTATCTGTACTGAGCACTTAAATAAATTAACAACTTGAAAGGCGTAATTTGCCGGAATTACTTTTTGCAAATGTCACATATAAGTAGGTACCCATGTTTTTAGACTTCTTTTCAAGGCCAAATCTCTAAACCATGTTTTTAGACGAATTATTCAAAAAAATATCGTATAATTTTCGTCTAGGTAACCTATTCAAATTTTAAATAGGTATTCAGTTATAAAATTGGTATTTAAGGTATCCGACTTTATACTTCCCAAATTGAGGAATACTTAGTGTTCAATTATTTAATTTTTATTGTTTTCGTGTACAAAATTAGGCGTTTTCGGTGTTAGTAATTTCTTCGATGAAAGTGTAATTTAAAAAAGCTGTATGTCATGTTATTTATTGTAATAAACTGGTGTTTTTGTAACTATCGGGTTTTACTTATGGTGTTCAGCCATGTTAAGACATATATTTCTCTAGATGTTAAAAGACAATATACTTCTTTAGATCCAAAAAAATCTTTCGTAAGTTATGTTATAGTCCCCGGCACGTAACTTGGGAAGAATCGTCAGATGCGCAGAAGTCGTTTTTTAGGTCTCTTTGGTTGTCAAGCGGGACACGGGGAAAGATGTAGCACCGTTCCGAGCGCGCGATTGGTGAGTCAGTCGACCCTCCCCTCCCGCACCGCGTCCACGTTCCGTTCGCTCCTGATTACACATGCGCCTACTAAATTGTAGGAACCCTTTGTTTATATTGAGTTTTTGTTACGAGTTGTTATTATTGTTTTAAATTTAGTTTTTGTTACGAGTGTTATTCTTTTAAATTTGTTTGCAATGCCAGGACCAAATACCAATGATCATATAATCGATTCAGTCACTGAGCGTTTTATTATTTACGCCAGTGACGACAGCGACTCTTCGTTATGTCAACGATGAGGAGCCAACTCCTTCCACCAGCTCAGGTGCTACCATAAATTTAATCCAAGGAGTAGCACTATTAGAAAATGATAGTGCCGATGGCGACACATAATTTTTAATATGAAGTATATTTTTTTAAATAAACTTCTTAACTTTTAATTGTATTTTATTTATAACACCTAATACACTTCACGAATTCCTCTCTTTTCTTTAACTTTCTTCTAAACACACAGGCTTAAAAACAAATTATGACAAATAAAAAATAAAATAAAATAAAATAAAATTATATGCGGTCAATAAAAGTGACCATTTTTTTGTTGCAATGTGCACTATGCGCGACATTACCCTCACTACACCAAAACCTTGCCAACTTACGTGCCGCTTACTATAAAGCCGAATTTACATTACGAAATTAGTGGCGTGAAATTAATTTCGTGACATTAGTTTTACTAACAGTTTCACGTGTAATTTAATACTTTCGTAATGCATGCATTAATTTCATGCATGGAAATTAGTTTCGTGCCCTGCGCGATTTTTTGGTGAAATTAATGTCATGCAACTAATTTCATAGTGTAAACGCGACGTGAAACTAATGTNTCATGCATGGAAATTAGTTTCGTGCCCTGCGCGATTTTTTGGTGAAATTAATGTCATGCAACTAATTTCATAGTGTAAACGCGACGTGAAACTAATGTCGCGAAAGGGCCTGCGCTGTGCGGACGTGTGTATTGTTAGTTCGGACGCGCTTCAAGCGTTGAAAATGGCAAACCAATGATGGAGTACAGAAAAAAATATATATCTTATTAATGAATATCAATGACAAGGGTCCCGAAACACCTATAGTAAAAAATCAAAATTATCTTCACTCATTCGTAAATAGTTTTTATAACTCTCAGGATCTTCATCTGCTAATTCAGAGACTAACTTCATTGCACCTAAATGCCTTCTTGTTGACCATCCTCGAATCTACCAACTTTTTTTTTCTTGATAGTCTTTTTTTAAGTTTATAGGTATATAAACATTTCTTTAGCTACATTGAATATAGCAAATTATAGCTTTGATGCTGAAGGCGCCATGGTTACTGCGCTACTGTTGATTTCGCGACACTAATTTTTTAACGAAATTACTTTCGCATATATCGAAACTACTTTCGTGAAACTGAGCTCAACATGCATGACACTAATTTCGTAATGTAAACTCGGCATAACTTATCATAATTTGAATAATGTAAGACTTGTGAAAACCATGGAGGATAGAAATAAGGAGTACCATCTTGTATAAAGTGGTCCTCTTGTAAAAGTGTCCACTTTTAAACAGTAAGTTATAGCTCGAAGACTCCTCCAAAATAGCGCTAGTGTAGGAAGTGGAAATAGTATAAATATAGCAGTATTGAACAGATTGAAGTGTGCGGGGTTGCAGTGAAGGCTATGTTCTGATATACAGTAATCGTCATGAGTCGTGAGCTCTTTTTTTTTGCTTTGTTAAGCGGACGAGCTCACGGCCCACCTGGTGTTGAGCGGTTACCAGAGCCCATAGACATTAACAACGTAAATGCCGTTACCCACCTTGAGACATGAGTTCTAAGGTCTTGTAATAATGCAACGGCTGCCCTGCCCTTCAAACCGAAACGCATTACTGCTTCACGGCAGAAATAGGCGGGGTGGTGGTACCTACCCGTGCAGACTCACAAGAGGTCCTACCACCAGTTTTTGGTCTTACTGCGATTAAGTCTCAATCCGAACTCTTGACTTATGCGCTTACTGCGTACTTTTGACAAGTAGTTCTTCCATATTATTATGCCGAGCACCAGACGCATCGTATCGTCTGCATAGCGCAAATTTACTATCTTGCATCCACTAATTACAATTGTAATTTACAGGTCCAAATTCTTACACTTTGTATTTTTATTATTATTATTACGACTCATTTGATGTTACGAGTAGCTACCTAAGCCCACAGACACCAAGCAGAAATACCTCAACTTTATTACTATGGCTGTCCTTTTCAAAACGAAATGCATTTGCGTTAGATCTTTTAATTAAACAAGTGTTTTCATCAGAGACAACTTTTACTTTGTTTGTACATTTGAATATATAAACTTCTACTTAACAAACACTGTGTGGCACATCCATCTTACTAAGTCTTAAAATAAAATCGAGTAAATACATCTGCACTTTAATTTCTATGGGTTTGTTTGTTACAAAAAATCCAGGGACACCAGCTTTTTCTAGTGTTACTTGCTGATCACTTACCTGAAAGTGTTTCAAAGAATATTAATTGTGATGCAGATTGTAGACCTTTCTCATTGACTAATAAAATATAAGCTGCATTGCATTATAGAATTATGAGTGAAAAGAGTAATTATAATTTGTATGAATATTTTTTTCACTCAAACGAGTTCTTAATAAGGGCTCATTTTTGTATTTTCAGTACTTTAAAATGTAGCGACCTCAGTGTGATGGAGATTCTTGATGCTATTTTAGTTAAAAATATGTATGTGCAGCAAATAATAAAATTCTTCATAAAACTGTAGTTGGGCTTACCACATGAACTTACCACATTCTATGGAAAAAGTCTTCAGCTCTGTTTTTGAAAATTCAGTTTTTTTTATGGCTTTGTTTATCCTCCATTTAACTTTACAAGTTTTGAAATAAAATATTGTTTTTGCATAAATAATTCATAATTTAGTAAAGTGACTGATATTCTGAAGTTATTTCTAGTATTCTATTCTATTAGGTCTAGTATTCTATTATACTTACTACTAATTGCATTGAAACTTACTCTTATTGTATTGTTCAAAGTTTCTTGTAAGTTTATAATAATGTGAATAATTTTTGAGTTCACACAGTTCATTTGTATAAGCCACAAGATATTTATTCGCATGCACAGGATGTTAGATTATGGACATTTCAACTTAAATTCTCGTCCTGTCTAAATTTGCAAATACAAAAAAAATCATAGGCGCATTACCTTCTGATCAAGTTGCATAATTAATTTCATATCAGTTTGTTTCATCTCCTCTTTATGCCTTGATAATAGTAAGGCCTTTTGTAAGTCTTGCTGTTGTGGATCAGTTGTATTATTTATCATTTTTTGTATTTCTACTGTAAAGGTAATTTAGTTTTGGTTAACAGATTTCATAATATATTGCTTGATTGAGGAAAAAATATTCACACATTTTTTTACTAACTTTCAATAAATGTGTTGCAATCAATACAATTGATTACAATTACAGTTATGCAATATAGAGACAGAGAGAGAGAGAGAGTATACTTTAATGCACCAAAACACAATTAAAATTAAGAAACAGTAAACAAGTAAAATAGTGTAGCACTATAATTGAGACATCAACCTGTTAGCTGAAGGCAAGGCAGGCAAGAATGATGACCACAGGCAACTAGTCAAAATATCCATAAATACAAACTGTATCTCAGTTTATAAATTTCTAATTAACTTTTGGATATTGCAGTGAATCAAAATGAAAATAAAAGTAGTTTATATAGTATACATCTTATTTTTTTATTTGAAAAGAAAGAGAAAATATTGATTAAATTAATTTATTTCTTAAATTAATAATGTAATTGACTACAATATCATGTTTTTTTTGGAAGCTTTAATGGTATTAAAAACTATTATTATTATGTCCTAAATTGTATTCCTTCTCAACCTAGTTTTGAATATCTTTTTAACAGCACATTTTTTAAGTTTTTTTTTTCAGTTAACATGTTTATATCACAAAAGCAAAATTATCTTTAGGTTGCCTCACTGTTTAAATTACTTACATGTATGCTTATTAATAACTTGCAGTCTTTGTTGGAATAAATGTTTCTCTGTGACATGTTGAATCTCCATTAGGCCTTTGACTATTTCGAAAATTGTGTCATTTAGTAGACAGTTAGCTAATCCTGATAAGAGTTCAATTGGTACCCGCATTTGATATTTACTAGAAATCAAAAATGTACATAAATTGTACATTAAGATATAATAGTACCTGCCTGCTCGACGAGAAGAGAGTAAAGCTAATTACTTAAGTTTTGAGAAACTCACGGAGGCAGTTCTCTGGCCATATCTTGTAACTGTTCTAATAAGAAATATAATTTTCTTTGTAAAGCTTCCGGGGTAGGCTCTTGTAATTCCATATTTGAAGATAATATAAAAAAACAATTATTGTATTTGATAAAAGATCCTTTTGACAGGCAATTCGAACATTACTAATTGTCGAAGCGATTCAGTGCATTCAGTGAGAAATTATAACCCCTATTAAATACAAGTTCAAAATAATAATAATTAAATGACTTAATTCTCTGTTAAGATTATCTCATTGTTAAATGTTAATACACTTAATATGAATACAATTTAATAATTATTTAGAAAGAATACTTAAGTGATGTTCACTTCTTCTAAAGTGTAAATAAATAATAGTCTTTTTTTTAAGGGATTTTATGACCTGGTAACTAAGAACTTTAGGTAAGTCTTATTTTAATTTATATTCTTATTTTTATGAAAAGTGATAATATGGCGTGAAATGAAATGAAGATAGTTAATTTGAGACATTAGCTCAGTAAATGACCACCATTTTACTGAGATTATATATTTTCATCCCATATCATCTCATTTCATGCTATGTTTCACATTAATCAACTTCATTTCATTTCTTAATATCATGTTTCATATAAAAAGTTTTCATTAAAATTAGAATAAAACTTGACCTAAAAGTTTTAGCTACCAGGTCATAAAATCCTTTACATATTTTTTTTATGGCATCACGCAGAAAAATATCATCCTGATTAGAGATGGTCTGTAATAGGTGAAATCAGAGACCTGCTCCACTTGTTCCCGTAGCCTGTTCCAAAATAACAGCCTGTTGGGTTGCAAATGGTTTAATAAAGTTTTATGTAGACGTCATCGTAGCCTAAAGGATAAGACGTCTGGTGCATTCGTATCGAGCGATGCACCAGTGTTCGGATCCCAGGCGGGTACCAATTTTTCTAATGAAATACGTACTCAAGAAATGTTCACGGTTGACTTCCACGGTGAAGGAATAACATCGTGTAATAAAAATCAAACCCGTAAAATTATAATTTGCGTAATTACTGGTGGTAGAACTTTGAGTCCGCGCGGGTAGGTACCATCACCCTACCTATTTTTGCCGTGAAGCAGTAATGCGTTTCGGTTTGAAGGTTGGGGCAGCCGTTGTAACTATTGGCAGGCGATGCTCGACTTCTGCGAGTCCACCATCTCGCAGAAGGAGGCGGCGGAACGGGAGAGGGAGAGCTCTTCTTCCCTCTCGGTGCCGTGCCGCCGCCGCCGAGCCGGGGGTCGGAGGAGGGCGTTTGTCCAGCTCCGGCCCCTATGAGGAGGCAGTCTCCTCCCGGTGATGGTCACGGGGCGACCTAAGGGGGTTGAGGCTGTGCCGCACGCTACGGACGACGCGTCGGCGGCTGCGGACTGCGATGCGGTCCGCATTTTCGTCGTCGAACATACTGTGGAACAGCAACCCGGTCGGCGGTGTATCGCGTTCCGACCCGGCAGGCTGGTTCTGGCCCAGCGGGGTATCCCGGAACACCAGCGGCATCACCTGGGCGGCATGATAGGGCCGCCGTACCGCGGAGACCGACATCGTTGGTCGTCGACTATCGCCTCGACGACCCGTCGGTCGGGCGTCCTCGGGGTGGCACTGCGTGTCTGGTTGTAGTGTTGACCGCGGGAACCCCCCTACTCTGAGCGGGTTCTGACCCCGGATGGAGATCGGACGTCGGGTGTAAGAGTGCAGAGGAGTCGTTTAGTGGGTGGGCCCTAAAATCCTGCAGATCGTTGAGTCTCACATACCCTCGGACCTCGGACCTTGGGGACCTTGTAGGAGGCTCGGCCCCCGGCCCGAAAAAAAAAAGCCGTTGTAACTATACTTGAGACCTTAGAACTTATATCTCAAGGTGGTTGCGCATTTACCTTGTAGGTGTCTATGGGTTCCAGTAACCACTTAGCACCAGATGGGCTATGAGCTCGTTCACGCATCTAAGCAATAAAAAAAAAAATATAAAATTTTCTAATACCAAACTAGGACACGCATGCATGTTAATGTTATTGCTGTCTTTTTTATTACAATAAGTGAATGGAGAAAAGAGCATGTTACTAACTGTTTGGGAACAGGATGCTATCTTTTTCTATTTTTGTACGTGAAAAGGGAAAAGAGCTTGTTCCGAACTGTTTGGTTTCTGACTGTTTGCTGTGGAATGGAACAACGCAACAAATGGAAAATTGCGGAACAGTTGTTTCGGTCTATACAACAGTTCCAAGTTTTTTCTTAGACGAACCTGTTCCGTTTGACTATTCCGATAAATACGCCTCACCCCTAATCCTGATTTTGACATGTCTATGCTAATCAAATAGAAATCTAATCATAACAAAAATTTGTTTTAAAATTAAATTACGGAGACATTAAAACATTGCTTAAAAAATAATACTATGACAACAGTGTATTTTTTCTTAGCTGTGATGTTTGCTCACGGTAATTTTGCAGATTATCGAGATGGAAAGGAATTGCCTGTAACAAGCTATAAATTGTATGTTTAGGGGTGGAAATTTTCATAGTTATCGTTTGCCCGAGTAACATGAATAATAATTTTCAGAAAATACAATGGTGAGGGGTATTTGTTTGCGAATCCTAGTATTTGTACGAAATTACTTGATGAATTTGCGGATTCTGCATCTAATTTTACAAAATGCTCAATCAAACATGCGAGACCGATAAGATTATGTGAAAAATGTATTGATCATTATGTAAAATTTCGTGAGAGCTATAAAAATTTACTTCAAACCAATTTAAATGGAACTTCATGTGAAACAATCTTTATTTCTCATGATAGATTAGAGGTGGTTTTGAATTATCATGATAACATATTAGCTATTTGGAACAAAGGAAATTGTAATGGTACGTATATATTCTGTATATTAGAAAACTTGCAGGTTCAAGCAAGTCATTCTTGTGGAGATGGTTATGACACTATTTTGTTTGTGCCAGCTTAAAGATTTTCCTATTTTTTTTGTAAATACCGTTTATTTTATGTTACCCGGTGAAAACTTTTAATGCTTTTGTTTTTTGTTTCTTTTATAAGTATCTGAATAAAAGTGGAGTGGGAGCTATCTAGTAAGGTTCCTTATGTGCAATGCATGAGATACATGTCTGTTTATGTTTATTTTATCATTTTAGATTGTTTTAACTGGACTAAAGATAAACCAGAAATTTCAAATAAAACTTACCATTTTTATCAAATTTTTAATGAAACAATGCAATGTATTGAAGAGAATATAAATCCCAAAGAGAATAGTACAAAAGTGTGTGAGAACTGTATGCAAAGCTACATACAGCTGAATAACTATTATGAATCTCTTAGTTTTGACAGAATAGGGCTGGATATTATATGCATGGATGTTATAGATTCTGTAAGTACATTAATTGTAACAATGAAGTAATCAGCATTTTAGTAATTCTTTTAATTTACTTGCAAATGCAAATAGATGTATATAATTCATAATATGTTTTCTTACATAAAACATAAAAGTCATAATGAACACCAATTATTGTCAGCCAATTTACTCACATGAATGCAACAAACTATGCCATAGTTGACATCCAAGGCCAATTTCCATTTTTTATGATGGAGTAATAGTAATAAAAAATATAAATAGTGGTAAAGTTTTTGGGAACATGCAAAACCTACAGTGCCTACTATAGCATCCTGCCTGTTTCTGGCAAGAAGCAGTAATGTGTTGTGTTTTGGAAGGGTAGAACAGTCATTATATCATAAAATCACAATACAAAAGCCTCACATTTACCAGGTGCCAGCATGCACATTGTGATATCTATTGTTACTGGTTATAATACGAGCTTGCTAACACTTTTATGGAATAAAATATTAGAGATTTGATAGAGAATACTCAGATTTCTCATATACATACTCAACTTCAAAAAAATAAACTAAAAATAGAATGATTTACCTTATCATTTCAGATGAATGCAACTAGATCAATATGGAGCAAAAGCCTAAACTGTTGTAAATTGAGAAAGTCTCCAGAAATAATATTTTTGTGTTGTTCTGGAATTATTGCATGCTTACCAGTTTTGTATTATATTATGGTGAAGTATTGTGGACCAATTAAGGACTTACCTAATGTTTTAAAGCGTATGTATCAGTTTCTCATTTAATATCTATTTATGATGTCCTGTTTGGTAAAATTTTACTAATACAAACAAAACATAATTTCAGAATCAAGATTCAAACAAAGGATATTAAGAACAGTTAATGGTATCAATTAGGTCACAATATTTTTATGTAAATCAACAATTAATTATTTATTTTTATACAATAAAATTAGTTAAAAAGAATACATATTGTTTCATTGCTACAAGGAGTGTTGAGAACTATTACAAAAAACATTAAATTATACTTTACAACATTGCTCTTAGTAACATTAAATTACATTTTATTTTTATAATATATAAGTTGATAATCATGATACATGGGACAAATAGTAAAGTTATGTTTTCTTCAAATTTTTAATGCAGAATTAGATTATATCAACGCTTGAAAGGCAAACATGACTAAGCGACAATGCATGAACTTTATAGTAGACTAATTTCAAGTTGAAATACCTGAAAAAAATTATATTTTAACGAATCTAGCTGTACAATTGAAATGATTATAATAGACCTAGAAATACATTTTTTTGCACATTGAATATGGTTATTGCCTATCATTTAAGTATAAAGCAGTTATTGTCACTTAGTCACGTTTGCCTTTCAAGCATCGATATACTGTTTGCATTAAGTTTAAATATCTGCACTATGTTTATGTATGTACTGTATTTGTATCATATTAATATTTCAGTATGGGAATGGTTTCCTTACACCCAGCATAAATCTTCAGACTAGCACCTACTAAAATCTGCCATTAACATGATAGAGTGCATAATGTTCACCTGTGTCTAGCTTTTTTGTTGTTCTTTTTGATGCTGCCACTACTACTGCTTCCGCTACTAGACATTTTGTGTTTTAGTGAGTTTGGTGTTAAATCAACTTTATTAATTATGTTTACATTAGATTCCTTTTCTTTTGGTGTGCCAGGGCGACTATCAAGTCCCATTCCTGATAATATTTTACTTTCACTACTAAATGCCTTCTGAAGCATGCCAGATGCAGTAGCTATTTTTTGTGTAGCTGTTTGTTTTGTTTGAGCACTAGTTAATGTTTTATCTAATGTTCCATTAGTATTTTGTTTGCCAGATGGCTTAGAAGCAATGCTTTCAGTGGAACCATGAATTGTCGTATGGTTAAGACCTCCAAGATTGAGATTTGAACTAATCTGTGTGTCTGAAGAGTCTTCATTAGTTTGCGATTCAGTTTCACTATTTCTTTCATCTGAAATAAGGAAATGTTATAAAAAATAAAATATATTTCTGTCGCGAGTTGATTATTTTCAAAGTTTCAATATCCTTACTTTTAGCTTCAGCAGCATCTACAAGTCCACTAACAGCCTGAAATAATTTAATGGATTTATTTTACCGTATTTTAAGACGTTACAAAACAGAATAATTCACCTAAAGATTAACTTACAGCCATAGACGTAATACTAGATTTAGAAAACAATCTTTCTGCTTCTTTGAACTTTCTGTTACGTTTGTCAGCTTTGGAATTAGTGCTTTTGTTTGTTGTGAGGTATCTATCCCATCCTCTAATTATATTTCCATACAATTGAGTATCTTCCAAATATGATCCCTCAAATGCATAAATCTGACGTTCCAAGTTCGCTAAAGTTTCCTGTAAACAGATTCATTAGGAAGGGCGGATTAAATGCTCAAAAGGACTGTCATTAATGTCTACTTACAGCTACTTCAGCTTTCCGTTTGACCAATTCAGCTAGTTCAGCTCTAGTATCGGCTACCGAAGATTGTTTAGTAGCCATGTTGGTTCTTTTGGTTTGCACACTTTGAGCGTCATCAATGGGGCTTTGTGGTGAAATAACCATGCTGATGATTGTTGTTACTTGTGTTTTATAATTCCATAACAGATCACTTAAGACAGGCGTATTTTTTTCTGAACAGAAATGTGCCACTTATTTCCAAAAAAGCAAATTAACGTTCTAGCAATTGTTGTCTTAAATTCCACAGATTATTTTTTGTTCAATTTTTCCTTATTAGGAAAGGCAAGAGAATCTAAGCCCATACAGCCTTATCTGCCACAGATTATTGTAATTTGTATACTCAATTTTTTTATGGGATTTTCTGACCTGGTAACTAAGACCTAAAGGTCATGTCTTATTTTAATTTCATCATCATTCATCATCAGCCTGTATCTCTCCACTGCTGGATATAGGCCTCTCCTATAATCCGCCAAAATAAACGATCCTCCGCCTTCCGCATCCAATCTTTTCCAGCATATCGCCGCAAGTCATCGGTCCAACGGGCAAGGGGACGCCCAACGCTGCGCTTACTGGTACGCGGTCTCCAGTCCAGAACACGTCTGCTCCATCGGCCATCGGTTATGCGACACGTATGTCCAGCCCATTGCCACTTCAGCTTGCTAATCTTTATGGCTATGTCGGTTACTTTGGTTCTTTGACGAATTTCATTTCTGACTCGATCCATCAAAGAAACTCCGAGCATACACCTTTCCATAGCACGCTGAGCGATTTTGAACTTACGGACCAAACCTACGGTCAATGTCCACGTTTGAGCGCCATATATCATGACCGGCAGCACACAAGCGTTGAAAACTTTTGTCTTTAAGCATTGCGGGATTGCTGAGTTCAAGATGTGACGGAGTTTTCCATACGCAGCCCAGCCCAACTGTATGCGCCTATCAGCTTCCTTGGCCCTGCCCAGCTGAATAATTTGGCCTAGATAGGTGTATTCAGACACAACTTCGAGTACCGCAGATTCGACTATTACCGGTCCAGGAATGATATGGTCGTTGAACATGACCTTAGTTTTGTCCAGATTCATTCGCAGACCAACACGTCGTGACGCGACATTGAGCTCACCGAGTATACAGCTGAGATCTTCCAGCGACTCTGCTATTATAACGATATCGTCCGCAAATCGGAGGTGTGAAAGATACTCGCCATTGACATTGATACCCAGCTTACTCCAGTCCAAGTCTTGAAGACATCCTCGAGAGCAGCAGTGAACAGCTTCGGCGATATAACGTCACCCTGTCGCACCCCTCTGTGAAGCTCAATCGGGTTTGTCTGCTGGTTCTCGATCTGGACTGTCATTTTGGCGGCTTTAAATAAACTCTTCAACACCTCAACGTACCGATAATCGACTAGGCATCGCTGTAAGGATTCCAGAACAGCTCAAGTTTCGACGGAGTCGAAGGCTTTTTCGTAGTCCACAAACGCGAGACACAGAGGACGATTGTATTCTTCAGTCTTCTGAATAACCTGTCTGTGCGTGTGGATGTGATCTACCGTACTGTAGCTTTTGCGAAACCCAGCTTGCTCCGGAGGTTGGAAGTCGTCAAGTCTAGAGGCCAAGCGATTTGTAAGGACTCTCGAGAACAGCTTATAAATATGGCTAAGAAGTGAAATAGGCCTGTAGTTCTTGAGCAGAGCACGGTCTCCCTTCTTAAAGAAAATAATGACAGTACCCTTGCTCCAGGCTTCCGGTGTAGTCGTTTTTTGGATGACGGTGTTGAACGTTGTGCTTAATTGGTTGAGAACTGGTGTACCACTTGCTTTCAACAATTCTGTACTGATTCCGTCATCCCCTGTAGCTCTGTTATTTCTAAGCTGTTCCAAAGCAGCCCTTATCTCCTCTATACTGACGTCGGGTATGTCTTCCGTGTAGTGGCGGACTAAAGGGGCTCGGTGATCATTCTCTGGGTGCGCAAAGGGTTTGGGAGCATATGAGACATAGAGACTACGGTAGTAGCTCTCCACTTCAGTGAGGACTTCTGATCTTGAGTCATCAATTCTTCCATCGGCAGTTTTGAGCTTCGTCAGATGGCTTCGGCCTAGTTGTTGCTGTTGTATAAACACTTTGGTGCCTTTATTTTGTTCTATTGCCTCTTTAATCTTTGCTGTGTTGAATTGGCGAAGGTCACTTTAATTTATATTCTTATTTTTATGAAAAATGATACTACGGAGTGAAATGAAATAAAATGAAGATGATTAATTTGAGACATTAATTAACTGAGATGAAATTAAATGAGATGAGATGATATGGGATGAAATATAATCTCAGTAAAATGGTGGTCATTAACTGAGATTTTTTCAGTGGACTTTTTCGAGGATTTTTCTCATAGAGAAAAATAATCTGTGTAAAAGCACACAAGTACGGTATTAATTAAACGTCTTTTTGGCGGGAACGCGAGGAGTGACTTTGTGTGATTTGTTTTATTTTGTCTATTTATTGTTTCTTCAGGTTTAAATATGTAATAACGGTGGTTTATTAATTGATTAATATCTGTGAAAGTGCATAAATGTGGAAAAATTAAACAAAGCCGCTGAACGTATGTAACTTCTCGGTTCTTCCAGAAAATTCACTGACAAAGTCTCGGTAAAATAACCTCCATTTTACTGTGACTTTATTTCATCCGGTTTCATTTGATTTCATCCCAATTGGAGTCTGTAAGAAATCAACTTCATCTCATTTCGCTTTGTTTCATTTTACAAATTTCAGAATCTGTATGTATGTAATGATTGAAGATTTTCAAATACCTAGAGACTGTAAACAAAGGCTTCGTATAAAGCCAATTGCCATACAAAAAGAAGAAATAAGATTGGCTTAAAAGCCTTGTTACCAGGTCAGAAAATCGAAAAAAATACACTTTATTAACATTGGTAGTTATTGGTATGAAGGTATGACCATGAAGTTAATAAGTAGGTACTTACGATAACTCTATGGGTATGACAAATTGAAAACTAGTGAGAGTCGAGATTTCACTACAACAATAAACAGATTGAGTTTTGGCCATAATACTGCGCCGTCACACCTAGCAAGACTTGGCATTGTTTCAAACAACCAATGTACACTGTCAAGCAAAGGAAGGGACGATCCATTACATTATTTTCGATTGCCAAAGTTTCATAATTCAAAGACTTTTGTTGGCTAATGAACTTAGTGATACCAATGATAAGTGTGTTTCTTCCTCTCGCTCGCCGCCACTTTTTACTAAAAGATCCAACATCCGATAAACCTATTTATAATTACATGAAAAATATAATTCAAACAATTTAAATGATAAAATTTATTGAAGTGAAGTGTAGTGACCCTAAAATAATAAACATTTTTCAAATAAGATATGACCTAAAGGTCTCTTTTACCAGGTCATAAAATAAAATAAAAGTAGGTATGTAGTACTACCTATGGTCAAATGGCTGATATTCTAATATATTAAGTGTATAATCTATGGCTGATATAATTTAGTTGTCTTTTATTGCTGTATGGGCTTAGATCCACTTGCCTTTCCTAATAAGGAAAAAATGTACAAAAAAAAGTCCTTTAGTAAATAGATTATTAAAATTTTATGTATCGAAAATACATAGAAACTACTCAAAATACATGTTAGATCCAAAATAAACTAAGAAACCAATAAATAACATTTTGTTACTTAGAAGTGTAATATCTATGCATTTCGTTTGTTTAATATTGTAGCTATCCACAGTATTAATAAAATAATTGCACTAAAGTTATGGTTGTAAATTACATACCCCGCGTAACACAGGTACAGAGTGCAATTAAAAATAAAGAGTTCATATTCTTTGACTGCTGATCAGGGAATCAATTTGAATGTTTTATTTTAGCTGGACGCTGTAAGCTTAGATATTCAAGTGGAAGAACTTATAAAAGAATTGTTCTTGCAGGCGACAAAGTTTATTGAGGTACGAGTAATAACAAAAATGTTTTTGCCGCGTTACGTATGTGAGATTAAACCCAGAAAACACTTAATGTGATGTAATTATCTGTCACTTTTTTTCATGTTAGTTTATTATTTGTTTTTTTTTTGTAAAGATAAACAAGTACATTTTTAATCATAAACATTTTAGAGGTATATTAGTATATTCATGACTTTTTTAATGCGTCATCATGTGAACAGGCTTACAGCTCCGCCTAGGTGTTAAGTTCAAAAGGTAACCCATTGACATCACAACATGAATATTGTTACTCGCCTTATTACTTGAGATCTATCTCTTCAATGTATTTTTTATAAAATTTGCTGGTTATTTCTTCATCATGGGAGTATTTCCTACACCTGGGCAATATACCTATATAATTGAAAATATTTGTACCTGCCTTTGAAATTTGAACACTAGCACAGTCACTTTTTTGGTGATAAGTTGATCGATTTGTTGATACAAAGCACCGAACAATGTGTGTATTAGACAGGTGATTATGAGTTTTTATTGCATTTGATCAGTAAAATTCAAATTGACAAATAATAAAAAAGAATATAAATTGAATTTTTCTATGATGTGTTCCACAATTAGGTTTGTCTATTACTGCTGTGGGTTGTCGATACGGCTAGGGCATACTAATTTTTAAATGATCAATAAAAAAAATTTCATTTCATTTTATAGACAGTTAAAGCAAAGGGACTGAGATTTTGTAAGTTGCTTAATAATATTGTTTTTCCACTTTGCTCTAAACTTGTTTTATTAGGTCTGGCATGCCACTACTATATTTTGATAGTGTGAACTATACTACTAAATTACGACTAGAGTTTTTATCAATTTAATTAATTTAGAAAAATTTAAAAAGTTGATACCGTAGGATGCCTAAAAGTGTAAAAGTTGTTTATAATAATAATAATATTAAAATTTGAGCAATAGTAATATTAGTTTATTATTATTGTGGTGCCAAAAATTATTAGTATCTACTGTTTTTTTTCCAGCCACGGTATATACAACCTTTTTTACCTGAGATTGAATTGTTGATAAGGACATGGATTTTCAAGCATTCAGTGTATGACAAAAAATACACATTTGGGCAAGAAATATTATCAGTACAATATTCAACATTAAATTTTACCAAGAGTAAATTGTGCTGGTATTATGGTTACACCATTGGTTTAAAATATTTAAAGGAAAGAGGCATATTTAGTTTGACATCTAACACAAAAGTACAAAATTTCATACAAAATGTTGAAAAAATTCAGTTATTCAGTGAAGTACTAAATTTTCTAAGGTTTATACAAAGTGGAAAACATCCTTTACTAATAGACTTCATTTTAGGCCTAGAACTAATAGGTGTTAATCAAACAAGAGAAGATTTGACAGATTTTTCTTGGACTCGAGAACTTCTATGGCATAATTTGATTGTAAGTAAAAGCTGTAAAGAAAATGAATACAAGTGACATTTGATTACAATACTATTTTTATTTACAGGAACTTTTTGGCACTGGAATATCACTTTTTAATATAATTGGTTTAAAGCAAAGGCTCTCAAAGTTTTTGAAATATGTATGGTGGAACAAACCTGTGCATACATTTGGTCAACCTGGAGCTCCAAATATGACTTTGAGTACTGTGTGTGCTTGTTGCTCAAACAAACCAGTATTGCCTCATACTATGGGATGCAGTCATATTTTTTGTTATTACTGTTTGGTGGTAAATATTCTATAATATTTTCGTAGTTGTAAAAATATGAGAAAAGAAGGCTTTATGAGAAATGAATTATGCCTCCCTTGTTTTTTTAGTTGTCCATGTTAGTAAACACCATAAAGTACTGCTTTTATAGTTTATATTTTGTAGAAAGATTTAAATTTTACAATATCCTATTTTGACTTTGTTATTTTTTTTTTCTTTATTTTATATTATGAAAACTGTAAATGAAAAGACTGATCTTAGATTTTGTAAAGTATACTTTGATATAATTTTAACTTATTTAAAAGATCATTATTTATTTTTCTAAGCCAGTAGTTTTAATTTAATATTACCGTATTTTTAGGCAAACAAAACTATGGATCAAGATTATGCATGTCCTAAATGCTACCACGTAGGAAAAAATGTTGCCAAACTTACAGCTTCCTAATGATGTGATTAAATTTTATTAATGAGAGACCTAAATTCGTGTCGTTAATAAATGGGTGCTGTGATTTTTCATAAAATAATATTTATTTTGTAATTGAAAGAAAAAGGATTACAAAATATGTTAAAAAGTGTTTTATTTCTTTTAAAAATAAGTACGTAAGGTAGCATAATACACATGGAGTTTTTCAATAAGTAAATCGGTTAACTTCGCCTATCAATTACTCGATTTGGCGTACCTATGTCTGTGCCGCGAAAATATTTTTACTGGTGGTAGGACCTCTTGTGAGTCCGCGCGGGTAGGTACCACCACCCTGCCTATTTCTGCCGTGAAGCAGTAATGCGTTTCGGCTTGAAGGGTGGGGCAGCTGTTGTAACTTAAGGTGGGTGGCGCATTTATGCTGTGGATGTCTATGGGCTCCAGTAACCACTTAATACCAGGCGGGCTCGTCCACCCATCTAAGCAATAAAAAATAAAATTATAATAACAGTCTGGTTAACAATACGAAGTGTTCCACTAAAACGAATATTTTTTTATAATTGAGTACAAACTGCAAAAAAAAAATAGTAATATGATAGCATTCTAACAATACCCAATGAAAAAGCAAGAAATCAGATCAATTATTTTTATATTTTTATTTAAAGCTTTGTCGTGCTCGTGCACTATTTTTGTAGTTAGTGCTATCTCCCTACATATAAAACATACTGAATTGCATGTATGTAGATAGTCTTTCAAAAAAATATTTTTTTTCACGTAGTTTCAAATTATTATATTATACCTATTACATTTCTAGCCGTGTGGTTGAACTTCTGACCAATTTTTTTTCATTTCTATAGGGCTATTTATATATTCACATTTAGCTCACAGCGTTAAAGTAACTGTCGTTCAAAGATACATCAATAATCCCTTCCTCGAGATATTTTGAAGTGGATTACATTGCAATAAAGGGTGCCACTTATGATTGTTTCGCTGTAGAAAGAGGCATGTATGGCAAGTCCAACCAGTTCGAACTCTTAACGCCGCTTACTATTAGTACGTGCTGCTTACACACTACAACTGTAAGCTGCTCCTGATCTCGGGATAGGAATAGAGGAATATAGGAAGTGTCAGGATACTTGACTGAATATAATGAGGAAGTAACAGTAGGTCAAGGAAGCTGAGGTCAGATACCCGTAATTTCTGAGTAATAACCACTATCAAGTAAGATGCTTTGTCCTTGCAACGAGTTTCACACTATTCGATAGATATCTCTGTTGCCGGCGTTATCACGTTTTGATAACGTTTTGACAGCGTTCTTAAAACCACCCGTCTTTGCAGTGCAGGCAATAATAGCGTTTTAGAAAAAATAATTAAGGTACAATATCAAATGGGTTTTAATGTTTACAAAATATTTACACATTAACATACCTTTCATTGAAATTATACATTATGACTTATATTATGTTCTAATTGTAATTTTTTTGCTTATAAATAGGTATATAACTTCTGGACTAATTTATCAAATATTTTAGAGGAGGCCGTGTACATCGAGTTTGATCGTAGAACATGAGGCAACTGGGGCCAAAATTTTCTTGAGCGGCTACCCCGCGTTGGAAGTTACAATTTGAGTAGGTATCCCTCAAGGTGGACCGATGATGTATTGAAAGTCGCCAGAATTCGCTAGATGCGTTTAGCGCAGGACCGGTTATTATGGCGAATCTTGGGGGAAGCCTTTTTTTTCCTACTTAAGCTGATAGCCTCGAGAGGCTATTTCAGCGTAACCTTAACTAGTAGGTGAACTCACGGGGCTCTAACCGGAGTGATGCCAACACTGACCCTAGCAAGAGCAGTGCTTCGCAAAATCTACCACCGGATCGAAACGCGACCCACTGCGAAGATCCGACGAGAAACTCAGTGGGATACCCATAAACCCCAACTACTGAGTTTCTCGACGGATCTTCTAAGTGAGCCGCGTTACCGATACGATATTTCGATAGGTAGCGGCTTGGCTCTGCCGCTGGCATTTCTGAAGTGGACGGGCGACGGTAACCACTCACCATCAGGTGGGCCGTATGCTCGTCTGCCTACAAGGGGCATTAAAAAAGAAAACGGAGTTAGGTTCACCTAAGCACTGCTCTTATTAGGGCTAGTCAGGTCAACTCTCGCAGCTTAAGCCTTATGAGCTTACCTACCAAATCGTGCGCAGCTGAAATAGCTCCTTGAGACTACCAAGGATTAGGTAGGGAAATAAGGAAGCATATGTCCAGAAGTAGATGGATTCATAGGCTTGATGATGATGACTGGCGGTTTCAATGCATAATTTTTTTAACGTGTTTGATTCACGAGCGAATTCCCCTTTTATGGTGTTATCGTATGTATTTAAAAAACAAAACAATAACTGTAGGTAGGTATACTTCAAAAGTGAAAGGGAATCATCCAAAAGCCTTGTGTGCTAACGCTAACGGCCTGTGGCAAGAAGTGTCAAGCATTGTCTGCTCAAAATGACTCAACGATATCGTTTAAATACGACTTCTCAACGTAAAGATTATTACATTTAAATAGGTATATAATATTCATGTTTTGTTTAATAAAATTAATATAATTAGGCAAATAGAATGTACAGGTTACCAGTTTCCAGTAGAAGTATTTGCACACGATGTGCAACTTCCCAAATGCAATTTTCAATTCGTTTTTAAAACTTACTAATAGCCTTTAATCATTATGTACTTAAAGTAATTTTCTAATTAAATTAACTCACAATGTGGTTATTTGCTTCTTTGCTACGTAGTCACGTTTCCGCCTGGCCCCAATTAAGCGTTCAAGTAATTTTAATTATGTACGTTCTAAATAAATCCGTAGGCGCTAAGATTTAAGAAATTAGGTCTAGCTCTATAGGCGGTCTGTCTAAATAAGGCGATTGGTATCGTAAGGCCTGCAGTGGTTTTGTGTGCCTTTAGTGTTGATTGTCTTTGCTGTTGCGCACATCAGCGTGGAAACCGGTCTCCCAGTCGGCTACGTAGTCCACTGTTCTCACCGAGCCGTCAGGCTCCACTAAGGAATACTGACCTGAAAAAATTAAACATAATTTTAATTTAATTTTTAATTAGTTATTTACTAATACATATTTACTATATAATTCACGAAAATGACCACTTTATCAGTACAAAATAAAGGTACATTTTAATGTAAAGGAGCTCACGGCTCAGACTGGTAACTTGCTACCGGACACCATAGTAGTTCTTCAATGGCTGCCCCACCCTACAAACGGATTTGAAGCAGAAATATTCTGGGACTGGTAGTGTCACGAAGCACTGCACATTATTCCGCCGTACTGTAATACGAGTCCGTTATATAACTTTTGCAAAAATGTTTTCATGATGAGAATCACAATTTATTGAAATGCAACAAGCTGACCTTTTACAACTTCCCCATCTCGTTCTTCCTTTTGTTGCTTAATGTCTCCGGTGTGCGGGTCATTGACACCGTATTCAAAGGCGTATCTCGGATGTGCGTCCTGTAATGCAAAATAAAACGGCAGTTATAGACAATAAGTACCGTGGGAAATATCAATTGCTTCTATTAAAGTTCAACCTTAGTGGATAGAAAATGTCAAACAGGTGATAAAATACGAACAATGAAGTAGTAGATTATTTACTTTAGTGAAGAATGTTATATATTATTTTTAATTATGTTACAAATATATTGATCGACCTTTTAGCACAGTGAATATCGTTAACTTGGTCTGACGGTCGTATGTTCGATTCCCATTTCGATTAAAAAATGTGGTACGAGCAGGTTTGTATGCTCTGTGTAGTGCAGTAGTATCAAACAGTGTGGAATCCCATGATGTTGCCACTTATGGGTCCTTTAGATATCAATTAGGATAATATATGTATATGTAGTAGCAAATAGTATAGATATGCTATTATGGACGGATTATCATATCCGTTATTGTTTATTGGACATCATTACTTGTTTATATTAGACATATACTCGTACATATTTCTATATAACCGGGAAGTCACACCTCTGTCAGGTCGTTGACAGCTTGTTCAATAAAACGTATTCACTAGTTTTTATTTGTTAAAACTTATTAAAGTAAGCACTAGTTTTAAAACATTTTCGTAAACTTTCAAGATGTAATCGTTTCACCGTAACGAAACCTGACTCGAATCAAATAGACAACTGTTACTGATCAATCTAATTACGACACGCACAAGAATTAGCTTCTACTAGAAAATGTCGTGGAACTTGTGAGATTATGTAATCATGTCCTTTATACAAAATAATTTAATGTTTCAAGTTTGCAATTGCGATTATACTATTTACGATAAATTAACCAGTTAGAAAGATAATTTGAGTAGTTTCAAAGTCAAGTTCAATTTGGTCCTATAATTGTTTTAAAAGTAAAACAGTGTTTGAATTTGAAAGTATGTGTAGTTTTTTCTTTTTTCATACAACGACGAAGCGACCACAGATTTAATTTTTGCAAAAAGATAGAAGATTCACATCGGCTACTCTTTCTCCCGAAAAAATAGCTATGTGTCCGATTATTGTAGAATTATATATGAGACGTTAGTGAATTCACGCAAAATACTCAATTTAGAGAAGAACTTGAAATACAGTAAAAAAATCTAATCAGAAATAGTTACTTACATAGTTTTCTAAAAATTCTGTGTGGACGTTTTTCACAGAGTTAGCTGATGAAATATGACCTCCGATTGCTAACGATGGAGTAGATGCATAGTTTGTTCTTGCTCCAAGATATTCTGGAACTTGCGCAACACCCGGAGTAGAGTAGTGAGATATGACTGGAGTAGAGTAGTGAGTCGAGACCGGAGCAATGGCTGGTCTTGAGTATGCCGCTACCGCGGGACTCGAGTGCCGAGTGAAAGAAGCAGACGAATAAGCTGGCGCTGAGCTAAGTCCTTTTGAATAGCCATTAGAAATTGGCACTACAACTTGATTCAGAGCTGCTCCAGCGTGCTTTACAGTTGGTAGGTACTGTGCTGCAGTAGAAGCGATGTAACTTGCTCCCGAGGAATATTGCGTAGGCGTAAAATATTGTGTAATTCTAGGGACAGGCACTTGAGAAACACTTGGCGCGGCATATTGAATTGCTGGTGGAATCTGTAGGGCGGGTAAGTTTTGGACTTGGTTATATTGAACACCAGTAGAGTATTGCGTAGAATCAACTTGTGCGTTTTGCTGTGCGTTTAGCGCTGGTGATGCAGCGTATCTAACTGTCGGTGCAGCAAACACTTGCGATACTACAGGTCCTTGATGAACAGTGTTGCTGTATAGAGATGCCTTCGCTGAAGATCCAGATGCGTATGATGCCTGTTGTACGTTGTTTTGTGAATAGTAAGTCGTTCTAGCTGGTGCCACAGAAAACTTAGCAATGAGGGGGGCTGCGGTAATCTTTGCAATTATGGGTGCTTGAGCGTATGTTGCTAGGGGTGTCACTGTTTTAGTAGTTGACGCACTTGAAGACAGGCCAGCGGATGTTACGTAACCATGCAGTTCTTTTGTATACACCGGTGCAGTAATGTAGTTTGATTCAACCGTTTGGTAAGTTGGTTGTGCGGCATACTGAATGGCCGGAGTGTACTTGATAGAGGCGGTTGGCTGTGAAACTACAGCTGGAGCCGGAGCCACGTTGATTCCAGAATGAGTAAATTGGATACCAGGCGCAGGGTATGAGTAACCCGAATCAGCACAATTGGAAGCTTTTTGCACTTGACTAAGATGGTAATTCAGATCTGGATCGTGGTACGCAAGTGCATTTGCAAGTATCAATACCGCAGTGAAAGATATCTGTAAATTAAATGAAAACTATTAGAGAATATTTGCGTTTACTGAAGTGATTTGGGGCCACTTTACGACTCACTTAATTACACTGAATACTGAAAACGTTATAAAAATAAGGTCACACTTGAGCTAGGTACTGTGGTTGATAGTGAATTTGATTTAGAGGCTTTGTTTTTAGAGATAAACATTGGGTTATAAAATCAATCGTGTTTTATTCTTTGAAGAATAGTTTGGCCATTGTTTCATTATAAATGAAACTACGACCTCATGTTTCAAGTCAGCGACTATATGCGCGTTATGATGTCCATTGATTTCGCTATGCTATTAACTAAACGTGAGCCCTGCCCAAGTGCATTTTTGCCAGCAAAAATAAAATAAAAACAACAATGATAATAGTCAACAATCTTAAATATTATTGTCTTAATATTCCTGTGAATGAAATTACTTACAGCTTTCATTTTATTAAACTGAATAACAACTAACACTATGAACGTTCGAAATATTCACGAATTTAAATAAATTAAAAGCCTTAAATGTATTTGCCAAAGTTAAACGTAAGTTGAAATGAGAGCAAAAGCGGTCGGTAAAGTCTTATATAGCAAGCTCATATGTGTAAGAACGGGTCACACTTTTTCACGTTCTCCGTCACTATAGTATGGGTGGGCGAGGCACGTGTGCGTGTAACAGGAATTTTGAGAAAATTTATGTTACGGATAAATTATCAGGTTAGGAGAGCGTAATGTTTGCAGGAGATACGTTAGGCACATAATCTACTTTATTGTAACGATTTTATAAAATTATTTAATAAAGTAATATCGTAAAATTAAGTTGCGGGTTTTAGACAAATTACATATTTTTATTTTTACTTATTCACTGATCACTTTATTTCAGTTTCAATTTCCTTTCCATTGTAAATGGGCTGGTGAAAAAAAAAACAACCGTCAATTTTCAAATATTCGATAGTTTAAAGTTTATACATATTCATTAATTAATAGTTCATTATAATTTAACGAATCAGAAGAAAATTACTTATATTAGAAGAATATTACTATTGCATACTTGATTTACTAATGAAAATCATCTTACCTAGTGTTAATTACATTTTAGATTTTCAACACGTACCTATCTGCGAATTCATACTCTCTGCCTAGGTCGATCAGATTTGCAATTAGCCGGCTAATGTTATGTATTAATGTCTGCGGACTACAAAATTACTTGTATTTATGGAGGAATAGGTATTAATTCATGGCCAATTACTTAATATGCTATTTTAAAGAGCATATATTTATTTTATCTTTTAGGATACGTTTTATACAAAATATATGTTTTCATTCGTATTTATAGCACTGGTTAAGTAGACCAGTTAATAGCTTATCTAGTGTTATGTAGTTACCTAACTCGATAGACAATGATTTGATGATTAGAAAAATCTAAAAAAATTAAATATTGTGTTTAGGATCATTGAATACCCGAACTTAAAGTTTGCAGTATATTACATATAAAAATATTTGCAGCATTTTATCAGCATACTTAGCCAGTGGTTTGAAGAAATATTACGTGTTTCATCATTAAACAAATTTTATAGACCACGGGAACTTTAGGTATAACAATAATTATTTTTGAGTTTCCCTGTTTTAAACCCTGAGGATGGTAGGATATGTCGTGAATGTGGGTGTGTCCTATTATTATTTATAGCGATGAAATCATGCATTCCGGCTTGAAGCGTTTATTGTAGCCTTTAATATAATTAATTATGATTATTATTACCGTAGGCGGATAGACGACTGCCCATGGCTTACCTGGCCTGAGGTCAAAATCTGAATAGAAATGTTTGTCCTATAAATAAAATTTTATGATATATTGAACCTGATATACAAATAATTTGATAAATCTGCTCAGTAGTGAGTTAAAACAATCTTTTAAATCAATGAAGCATACGGTACATCCTTATGGTTTTTATTTCCTGATACAATGGACACGTAGGTCTCAGATCTCATGTCGCAGCTTCAGCGATAGCATGACACTAGTGCAGACAGAAAGAGTACATTAGTTAAACAAACTAAAAAAAAAACTTTCAACCTCCGAAATACGTGTTGTTAAATTAATGCGAAAAATTGGAATAAAGAATTCTAGCATGATTTAGTTTGAAAATTGCAAATGATCAAATTATGCACGGGTTGAGTTACTCAATTACCTCGTATGAAGACCTTTCACGACGATATTTTGTCGTAAAACTGTAAGAAAGCAAAACTTGTAAGTGAATTTACAAAGTTTCTTTCTATTGCCTTTGTAGGGGGACGAGCATACGGCCCATCTGTTAGTGAGTGATTACCGTGACGTGATACCAAGCTGCTACCTATTATATTTCATACAGAATTGACTTATAAATAGAATTATAAATGAAAAAGTTATAATTTCAAAGCATTTTGTCAGCTTTCGTAGATTATTAAGATATTTGCAATCTTATCTGGTATCCCGAGGCACGGTTGAGCTATTTTGAGCAAGTCTGCATTTAATTTGTCTGTGTGATCGCTTGCGTAACTATTCGTTCAATAAATATAATTATCCAGTAATACCGTTAGATTTATATACACGTATCAATGATATGGGTATTAGTCATACTAAAAAGCCAGTGAATCGAGCTAAGCTTTGTTTTATAATGTATTTAAATTAAGCAGTTGAAAATGCTAATTTTAATTGTATACCACAAGAACTAGTCTAGATTGATTTAGTGATAAGTAGGTAGTGCTCGTGCTCTGTCAGACTAGGTGATGTAAAAATTTTGATTTTCTAATTATGAAGAAAATTAAACCAATGTGTTAAATTTTTTATTATTATATATTATAGATTATAACGTTCCAGATATTCCAAAGAAGTTGCTAAGAGAAGCATTTAACTATCTGGCAGTGGTGAATAAAATTATACAATGGCTTGCAGAAGCTCATGAAACTAGAATTTACAATCGCGTAACCATTGAGGCAATCTTCTCCACAACACAGACATTGTTCGAAGACTGAAAAGATTAGACCTTATGAGTGAATGTTGTATGTGACAGTGCTGCGTCCTAAATTTAGAGCTGTTAAAGAACACAATTAAAAAGTATTTTATCTTTACGTTGATAGAGACAGCAGAATAGCGCGGATGGACGCATTTAAATAAAATAGCTTGAATACCAGCATACATGACGAAAATATTAAAAGTGTTTTAAGTATGTTAAACACACTTGAAAAACTTAACTTAAAAAAACTTTTTTCTTGCAAATATTTATTAGTTAAGTATCATCTGACAATTAGAGGTCATTGGCATTCCTATTGTCATTTCGGTAATATTATCTGTGGATACTACTCGTACTTAGATGCATTTAAAATACATAATATATTTAAAACACAAATTTGTGTATGCATACATTATTCGTCACTTTTTCTCTGTTAGCATATTTTTATCATCTTTTGACAAAATGATCCTTTTTGCTTAAAATATTTTGGTTTTATTTACTGTACTTATAGCTTACTATTCATCGTGACATTGCTTGTTATGTATCACTGCTTAATTTTCTTTTTGTGATTCTATATTTAAAGTTTAAAAAAATGAGTAGGTACATCAGAAAGCTACATTTCATATTAATGTTAACTGGGAAGTAATATACTACATCATAATCAATAAAAATACAAGACAAGTTCATATGTACTTAAGCGTACATAGTAATTAAAAGCAAACCATACATCTATTTATGTGACCCTTCACGCCCTCATCGTGGGTAAATCTTAAAGTTCACTTACTCATTAAAGTCACCATTACGCAATTGCTTTGGGTAAATTTATTTTTACCCAAACATAACAATAGATTTCCGATTAAGATACTTTTTGGCTGCGCTTCGAAGCAATTACGTTTTATAACTAACCTAATTAATTAGATTTTGGTTTTGAAGTAAACAATGGGAAAGAGATGAGTATCTTCTTCTCTCTCCCTTAAATGGATCACGTTTGTAGTTATGGAGACGGGTATATTCAGCAGAGCATGTCTTATGACGCATAAGCTCATACTGATGAGAGTTGCAAGGTCGATGTCATATCAATTCTATCACGGATTAGAAGTGATTCGCCAAAAACCTAAGACACGCTGATGACATCAACAAGGACGCATATTCTATTAAAATCTATAAGTTCCAAAAAGTTTCGCTTGCGAGGTGGAAAAAATCCCTTTGGTTTCCATTTCCTGTAGTAAAAACATCTAGTCTTATTTATGAAATAATCGAACAAAATCCCGGAAATCGGAGTGAATAGTTTCGATGGCAGAATGCTTACAAGAAAATACGATGATGCGGCTGTTATTACAAACATCATTGAATGAAGTGATATTATCATTATGATCTATTGCGTAAATAAGTATTCATAATACTTTTATACTTGGTTTATCTTTTATTATACCTACATATTGTTTCATCAAATCTTTCATGTTTATGAGGCACAAGGCGGTCGCTTTCAAAATCTGATTACTGAAATAACGGAAAAGGTTGAGGCCTTTTATATATATAATGCAATTGCTACAGTCACATCTGAGGTTTTGTATTTGTTTGTAAAGGCATTGCAATTGAATCCAGATTGAAATTTCCTCACATATGCTCTAGTTAGTTATTTACGTCGTTTAATACGTTTGATACGGGTCGGTCGCCTTGCACAAGACAAGCCCCTAAGCTCTACCAGCTTACATGCAAATTACGAAATCTCACGCATGACTCGTCTAAGGATTTCGAATGACACGTTTTATTGACTGGCTTGTTGGCGCAGCAGTTAGGCCCTCTGACTGCTGGGCCATTCCGAGTCTGATTACCGACCGTCTAAAGTCTATTTCCACATCGGGAAAACATTCGTGTGACATTTATGTATTTTTGTATGTGTATATCGGGCTAGATGAGCGTGTGTGAATTGTACCTCATTAATTATTATTTTTATTCATTGACACCCAACACCCGTTTGTTATCTTAATGAAGGTGTCGAGTTAATATGCTAAATAAGGTACAACGGATATTTCTAAATCGATCGTAAGGTCAAGAATTTGTTGTTAATTTGGAATTTGCTGGTATGACTGGTGGTAGTTATGGTCACGTATAAAAAGAAACACACCTCTAGTTAATCAATTAAAGGCGTGTTGTAATTTTTCTGAGAGATTGACGTCATTCTATATGTAGGTATGTTTGACTTGGGAACGAGAAACATAATTCAATACTTCTTTCCAAATAGGCAAATCCATCAGTTTGCTTATTTAAACTAAGCTTGCCAGGAGTTAAGTGGTTACTGGAGCCCATAGACATCTACCACGTAAATGCGCCACCCACCTTGAGATATAAGTTCTAAGGGCTCAGTACAGTTACAATGGCTGCCTCATCCTTGAAACCGAAACGCATTACTGCTTCACGGCAGAAATAGGCAGGGTGGTGGTGGTACCTACCAGCGCAGCT